TATAAATATATGAAAAATTGATGTGGGTACTCAAATGAAAGCTCTTGATGAGTGTAACATCGGGATGAGCTTATATCTTTAAAAATGTCAATTGTGCATAAGATACAAGGCCATTTCTTAATTATGTATTCAGAAATAGAGCATTTTCGAATGCAACCTAAATACTTATCATCATAAATTGATTATTGGTGAGAATGATATGAAACCTTGAAAAGGCACAAATTCAAGTCAAGACCTTTGCAATGACAATAAATTTCATTAAAAAGGCGATTTTATCATATGACTGGTCCCAAAATTTTGCTTTTTTTCTTAATAATATAGACTATATTATCCAATTATTCCAAATAAAGAAGAAATACGGTTACAAAAACTATATAAAGAACTTAGCTAGTCATTATTGCTATAAGCATTCAGGACACCTGCTGAAGATAATTATACCTTAATAATACATGAAACCTTGTAATCTTTTGTTTATTAAGCTCATAAAAAATTTTCTTACTTACAAGCATATCAACATCCTGTTTACGAGCATTAACATTCGCAACGACCTCTTATTAGTTTTTATCGCTCTTAGTAAAGATTAAGCCAATAAAGTGTGATTTAAAAGAAAAAATAAACATTTTATCTATGAACAGCTTTTTCCGGACATTTGAATGTATCAATGACCAGTGCCAGCGGACGAACAAACCAATCTCGATCATTGACCCAGCAGAGCTGAAGCTCAAAGGTCACCATACGACGTTAGCAGCTTGTCGTCTAGTCTGTGGTTCACTTGGAGGTCTTTGGCCGATTCCAACGGGACCTATCACCATTGGAAAAAATGTAAGATACATTATCATTATCATTATTGTATTTTTAAAAAATTTTAATAACAATAATTATAATTAGTAATTAACTTTGCAGTATTTACTAACGCATCCCAATGAAGTCCGGTTTGGTCTACAAGAAGTTCCTCGATCAACTAGATCATTTTTATCCGAAGCCTTGGACATATTTGTCGGGAATTTAAGATGGATGTGTGGAGAAAATTGCGAAAAAGCCAATTCTTCAGTCAAGGTTCATACAAAGGTTATTTCTGAGAGTGTTGAACTCGACTGGAGCACAGATGAAGAATATACTCTTCAGATATTTACCAAAGGTTTTTTTATAAATGATACTTATAATATTCCCAATTAATAATAATTACTTTGGTAATTATTTACAAGTGAGATCCGTCTTATTTTTGGTCATATCTTAGTGAAAAATTAATATTTTTTAATTTTTTTTTATTCTGCTTGTTTTTACAGCGTATTTATGGTAAACAATGTCGTGAAAGAAAAAAATAAAGATTTTGATAGCTTTTTTTGTCTTCAAAAGTTGGAAAAAATTTTGGCTCTCATGTTTTTGGATAAAATTTCTATTTTATCTTTTTTTGATATATATATTTTTTTTAAAAGTACATAAAAAAACGAACGATTAAAAAAAAAAGTTGAATATCACAATTTTCTGAAAAATTTATAAATTTTTTTGAAAATTTGTTGAAATTGTAACAATCAACTTTTTTTTTTAAATTGTTCATTTTTTTATGTATTTAAAAAAAAATATATATCAATAAAATCAAATAGAAATTTCGTTCAAAAAACTGAAAATTAAAATTGTATCCACTTGTAAATAATTACCATTTTTAGTAATTTATTAAATAAATTTGTTTTTAAATTTCCAGAAAACAAAATAGATGTTATCGTTACCGCTTCGACGGTTTTTGGAGCTCGTCATGCTCTGGAGACTCTGTCACAGTTGTTTGCACCCGTTTTAACATTGAATGCGCGAGGACTAGTGATAGTTGACCAAGCAAAGATCCAGGACAAACCGATATTCGTTCACCGTGGACTTTTGATTGATACTGCAAGAAATTTTCTTCCCGTTCCCGCTATTTTGAGAACTATAGATGGCCTAGCTGCTACCAAGATGAATGTTTTGCACTGGCATGCTACTGACACTCAAAGTTTTCCACTTCATATTAAAAATCGACCACTCATGTCCCAGTAATATATTTATTTCACCTAAATGCTGCTTATAAAAAGCAGAAAAAAGGTGATTATATATAACTATTGATTGATTTTAATTGTCCAAAAGGTACGGAGCATACTCACCTGAAATGATCTACACCCCAGAAGATTTAAGTTACATAGTAACATACGCCAAGTACCGAGGAGTGAGAATTATTCTAGAATTGGACTCACCATCTCATGCAGGTGCCGGATGGGAATGGGGTGAAGCAGCAGGACTAGGTGCTCTGGCGGTTTGTATTAACAAAGAACCGTGGAGAGATTTTTGTGTCCAGCCACCATGTGGTCAGCTAAATCCAGTCAATCCTCGTACTCTTGATGTTTTAAAAGATATTTATAGAGATACTCTCGCTCTTTTGGGCACCAACAGTGTCATTCATCTTGGTGGCGATGAAGTAAGTAATTTATTTATTCTTCTTTATTTAATTTTTAATAATCAATCTGTAAAAATAACTAGGTGTTTATTAATTGCTGGAATTCAACGCCAGAGATAACAGCTGCGATGCAAGATCGAGGAATGGGAAGAAGTACCGATGACTTCTTTCAACTCTGGAGTGAGTTTCACGCAGAGCAAGTTAAGCTTCTTGATGAAATAAAAGAAGGAAGAATTGACAATGTATTGCTGTGGAGCTCCGCGCTCACATCTCCGGATGTAATTGAAAAGTATCTTGATAAAAGAAGATTTATCATCCAAACCTGGGTTGAGTCAACTTCTGAATTACCCAGCGAACTTTTACAGCGTGGTTACAAGCTTATAATGTCGACCAAAAATGCTTGGTACCTAGATCACGGATTTTGGGGTAAAACTCGCTATCATTCATGGCGAGACGCCTACAATAATAGAATCCCACGAAATGTATGCTTCGTTTTTAATTATTTGTCAGGATTAAATTGTTTAGTGGTAATTGATGAATTATTTCTTCAATAGGTTGGAGTTCTTGGAGGTGAAGTCTGCATGTGGGGTGAATATGTCAACGAAGGCGGCTTGGACTCTCGTATTTGGCCCAGAGCTGCTGCTGTTGGTGAAAGGTTGTGGAGCGATTCTCATACCCTGAGAACTGAAGACGTAGAACCGCGTCTTCAAGCTTTTAGAGAAAGACTGCAAGTACGCCAAATTTATGCCGATGCCATTTCTCCAGCTTGGTGTGCTCAGCACGCTAAAAAGTGTTATTAATTTTTTTTTATACTTTATTTTGGTTAATCACTTTATTTGAATATTCATTCTCAAGTATTATTTGTTGAAAAAATATCTACAAAGTTTTATAAATTAGTTCACCAAATGTTTTATTACCCATCAATATTTCTTCTTTTTATAAATACAATGATAAGTAATAATAATAACAAAGTGTCTGACGGATGATGTGTTATATTTTATATTTTTTTGAAATAATAAATATGTTAAATAAAAAGTTAGATTTATTTTATTTATTATAAGTATATTATTTAAAAAAAAAAAAGTTATGTAATTATTTTAACTAATAATCAGATAAGTGATTTTTAAATAGTTGTATTTTTTATTTGAGTTTGATCATTTTTTAATATCATTGAATAAAAATTTTTTTTAAGTTCTAGAATTGAATTAATTTTGACTTCTGTCAATAAATCGATTGCAAAGTTGCGCATTCTCGGTTTCAATAACAGAAAAATAAGGAAAAAAGAAAATATAAATATGATCTCAATAAACCAAGTTTATTTCTGTTGATAATATATTAAAAAAAAATAATTTTTTTTTTTAATAATTGTTTGTATACTTTAGAAGTTATATAATCTACAAAGTTCAAATAATATTGTTCATTATTTAAATAGAAAAAACAAAAAAAAATAGAAGAAATAATGAAAATTCAATTAAAAATTTTTAGAATTTTTTTTATTAAAAAATTAAAAAAAAACTAATTTTAAAAAAGACTTTAAAAACTATAAGTGCGATTTTTTAAAAATATTATTTAGTTCCAATTTAATAATTTAAAAAAATTAACAATGTCGGCTAACTTTAGTATTATGAAGAAATAAGATGATAAAGAAGAAATATGACTTCTACTGACAATATTTGTAAAAAAATTACACAATTTTATTAGAATAATTCTTAGATTAGGAAGATAAGTTCTTCAATTATGATTCTGAAGATATCTGTCAATTTTTATAACAAATCAATGACAATAAATAAATTTTCTTCTTCTAAAAATTTTCATTAATAATTTTTAAAAATTTTCACATGTCTAATTTTTTTCATAATAATTTTATTGCTATAAAATTATTAAAAAATTTCTTATAACTGTCAACTTCAGTGTCATTTTTAATTATATACGTTGTTGGACGGTAATAAAAAAATAATTTTGGTAATAAATTATAAATAGACAGCACTGATAAATTTCTCCAAGTCTTCGTTGTTCAAGTATTCAATTAAATTCAATAATAGGCTAATATATACATTAATAGGCAAAAAGTATAGCCTTCCTTTTAATCGTGAAAGTTTTTTTTTAAATCGCCTAGAAGTTTAACTGGTGTGTAAATTTCTTATAAACCTTGATAAATAATTTTATGGAACATACATTTATTCTGTAAAATAAATAATAAATGACAATAAAATAATTTATGATAATGATATAATAATAATGTAAATAACAGAATATAAATAATCGACAATACTTATTTGCAAAAAGAAAGATTCCCTTACTCCCAGTTTGATTTTCTCCAGATGTCAGCACTGGATGGAATTCAAACATTCAAACCATTTTTTCTTTGGTTAAGTATAAATGTATACACACCTAAGTACACATATACATTCAACAGCATCCATATTATTATTGTTTTATATATTTATATATTTATATACAAATATATCGTGTTATACACATCCAGCTGACATTTGACCACATTTGACAATCGATAGTAATAATCAGAAATAGAGTTTCACCGAGATAGCAATAGCGGGTAATGTTTAATTAATTAAACAAGTCTTCCTTTAGTTAAAAATAAAATCCATATTTATTACGCTGCACATCAGTTTTTTATTGTCTGAAATGTCAGTTATGCTGAGGAACGTCGTAAAGAGAGTTGCTGATAATCACACCCACTATTACGTGTGTATATTTTACGTCTAGGTTATATTTTGAAAGTTTATACATAAAAATATGCCGTTATTTTCTTGAATTTATTCATTGTGTGATATTTGCAATAATCAATAACTATTTAATTGTACAAATACTCTAATGTAAATACTAAAAATCAGGTAATTTTATAATTATTAATTTTTTTATTTCATAACAATAGAGTTAGCAGTCTGTTGATAGTTTTTTTAATTTTATTTAACAAATTATTTTTTTTTTTTTTTAATTTAATTGAGAATAAATAATAAAGTGAGCCGACAATTTTAATTTTTTAATTTTTTTTTAATAATTAAATTAAACGAAAAAAATATTTTTTAAAAATTGCATTTACAATTTTTAGAGTGTTTTACAAGTGAAATTTTTTTTTTAATTATTTTTTCAATAAAAAAAAATTCTAAAAATTTTTAAATGTCAGCTAACTTAATTTTCATTTAGAATAATTGCATTTTTAATTTTTTAAAAATTCTACGTGTCAATTTTTTTTACTATAGTTTATTTCTTAAAAAAATTATCAAATATCTGCTAAATTAATTTTCAATTTTAACTTATTTAATTTTAATTACAGATAAATAAACAAAGAAATGGATATAATAGATATTGAAAGTATTGAATCAAATACACGACCAATAAAAAATTCAACTGTCAGATGCAATTGTGTGAGTTCAAATTCAGTATGTTATATTGTCGTGACAATTGCCACACTAGCTTTCTTGGGAGCTATTGTGTTTATATGCAAAGACTATATTAAAGTATTATTGTATTGGATAGAACATAAAGATATGTGGATCATAAGTATTATTGTAATATCACTATTTACAGTAGTTTCATTTCCTATAGTGATTGGTTACTTATTTTTAATAATCGCAAGTGGTTATTTATTTGGTATTGTCCGTGGTATTGCACTGGTTGTACTCGGCGCTAATTTAGGTATTGCAATTGCACACACGACACTCAGTGCATTGTCAACAAAGTTACCGATTGGTGCATTATTAAGAAGTGAAACTGCTCGAGCAATATTAAGAGTTATATCTGGTCCTCAAGCATTTAGAGTTGTACTCTTTGCCAGACTAACTCCAATTCCATTTGGCCTACAGAATACTATTTTTGCTGTAAGAAACTTCATTTTTTTTATTTACTTATCAATTTATATTTTGAATTTATTAAATATTCATGATTTTATTTTTAGGTAAGCAATATTAGTGGTTTAAGGTATCACATTGCAAGTGCAATTGGCCTACTACCAGCTCAATTGATTAATGTTTACCTAGGAAGCAGTTTACGGTCCATGCAAGATGTTTTGGAAGATAAATCAACTGCTGCGACGGGTTATATTGTATTTTGTTTTCAAGTAAGTGTAAAATTTTATTATTTTAATTAATTTTCGTAAAACTAATTTAATTTAAAAATTTTTTTATTGAAGAAATAAGCACTCTACATTAAACGTTAATTTTAAAATGAAAATTAAATTAGACTTCTGAAAATTTTTATAATCTATGTTATTAAGAGAATAAGAAAAATTTTGTGTCCAAGATAAAATCGATTCATATGATAAAATTGGTTTTTTTTAGTGAAATTTTGTGTCAAAGGTTTTGACTTAAATTTGTTTGTTTTTAAGATTTCATACCATTATGATTCAGTCAATTTATTATGATAACTATTTAGATACATAATTAAGAAATGACCTTGTATCTTGTGATCTATTGACAGTTTTAAGGATATAAGCTCATCCCGATGTTACACTCATCAAGACCTTTCATTTGAGTACCCACATCAATTTAAGAAATGACCTTGTATTTTGTCAACTATTATCATTTTTACGGATATAAGCTCATCCTGATGTTACACTCATCGAGACCTTTCGTTTGAGTACCCACATCAATTTTTCATATATTTTATATATTTATATATATGAATATATGAAAAATATATCAAAAATGTATGTGGGTACTCAAATGAAAGCTCTTGATAAGCATAACATCAAGATGAGCTTATATCTTTAAAAATGTCAATGGTTAAAAATGTACAGTGCAATTTAACAAAAGTAATTATTTAATAAAGCAAAATTTTATTCATTTATAGTTCACAAGTCACAGCAGTCACATAGTGACTGCAAGGTTGCTAGTTTATTCTATTGAAAAGTTATTTTAAAAAATTAAAAGAAAAAATTTCACATGTAGAAAATTTGAAAAATTATACGTGAAATTTTTTTAAAATATTTTTTTTAGTTCCAATTTAATTAATAAAAAAAAATTAAAAATTGTCGAACGTCGGTTAATGTTAGTATCATAATTATAAATGATAAAATATAATTCTAGATAATAATTGGAGTATCATTAATGGTCTACGTAGTACAGAAAGCACGGAGAGAACTTCACCTGGCACTTCTCGAAGCTGATCTAGCAGCAATGACTGACAGTTCACATTATCTACACGACACATTACCTGACTCAAAAGGATCTCTTACATCATTGATGGCATGAAAGATTTAATATTATTATTAAACAAGTACGTGATAATTAATAAGAATTGCAAAGTAATATTGCATGAAATTCTGATGATAAGATAAGATTTCATACTCGATGGATTTAAATCGCGAACTTATTTTTTCTAAAAAAAAATATTTTAAATAATCTCAAGATTCTTTACTTATTAACATGCAATTATAAGCGTGCCAAAATTTATTAACTTTTATTTATAAAATTATTTTGTTTCTTTTTTATAAAAATCTTACTCGACTTAAAAATCTTCCATTATACAGTTGTTAATTTTTTCTAATATATTTTTGTTTATCTAATTCGTATTACCGGCATTTAAAACTTTGTTATAACCCAACATATAATTAATGAGATATTATTTTTTATTAACTATTACTTAGGTTAGTATTTTATTATTATTAGAGGTAAAATAATAACAAGAATAATTAAACCTGCACCACTCTAACTAATAGTGATTACAAGCGTGTCATTAAACCAACTGTGTTATTAAAACTCAATAAAATATTCAAATATTTTTAATAATAATTTTGATTACTAAATAATCCGATTTAAATAATTTAAATAATATTATTATTAAAATAACGTCCTCAATAGCTTATTTATTATATTAATAATAAAAAAAATAAATCAAATAATTTTATATATCGACACTTTAACATATTTATTATGAATAAATATTTTTTCGAATCTACACAAGTCTTCCTTGTGTAAATTCGATTTCACAACGTTAAAAAAATAAATTTATACAATTGTGAACTATATAAACAAATTTGATTGTTTAAAAAACTTATTTTTAAGAATAGAAAAATCATAATAAGGTATTACATAATATGCAGACTTGTTTTGATAAAATTAGGCGTCTTTATTTAATAAAAAATATCTCATAAAAAAATATAGCAATACTTATTGAACAAAATGAACAAAAAAGTGTTCTCATTAACTATTAATGTAATTTAATCGTACGAATTGATTGTTATAATTTTTAATGTGATGATTTGTACAAATGTAAAAAGAATATATTACATAAAAAAAAATATATATATATGTATAATAAAATAAAAAAAACTTCACAGTTCAATTTAATTAAACAGCCGTGAAATAAACACTTTCTTTGTTCTTTATATACTTATCTCGATGATTTTCCACCCCTTTTTTAATAATCTCAACTGTGAAGTCAGCATCTTCTTTTGTAACACACATTGGAGGTTTAATTCTCAGTATCTAAAAAAAAAAAAAAAAAAAAAAAAAAAAAAAAAATCAGTAACATTGATTGACTATAAATCCTCAAGTTGAAAAATTAATTAGCAATGAATCCGTACATTTCCATGGACTCCGCCTTTACCAATCAGAACACCCATATCTTTGATGTCTTCAAAAATGTCTAACACTTGTTCTACTGCCATGGGTTCTTTTGTTTCAACATCAGCTATTAACTCAACTCCAATCATCAACCCTTTACCACGAACGTCTCCAATTATTGTCGGGTAGTCCAGCATTAGAGTACTCAATCGATGCAATAAATGTGTACCTACTATAAAACAATTTTCTTGAAGCTTTTCTTCTTCAATTATCTAAAAAAAATTAATTTTTTATTAAATAATTAAATTAAATTAATTAAAAAAAAAAAAAAATTACATCAAGAACAGCAGAACCAACAGCGCAAGCCAGTGGATTACCACCAAAAGTATTAACCCTCATAGCCTTATTCAAGACTTGGGCTATTTCTTGTGTAGTAACAACAGCACCTAGAGGAAATCCATTACCAATTGCTTTAGCCATTGTAACAATATCCGGTACAACATTATGTCCTTGAAAGCCCCAGAAATTTTCTCCAGTCCTACCAAACCCAGTTTGAACTTCATCAGCGATACAAATACCCCCTTTGCTTCGTACAAAATCATAGACCTTGGATAAATATGTCTTAGGATACTGTACGATACCCCCAATGCCCTGAAAAATACATAAATCATTTAAGATAAATGACTACAATGAGAACTTTTGTAGTGATTAAAATAAAAAATTATTATTAATCGCTCTTTTAATTAATGACTAACAATACTTTGCCGATAAATCATTCAATTTTATTGACATACTTGGATACTTTCTGCTATGAAAGCGGCTATAGGTTTGCCAGACGGTAGACTATATTTAAAAGCATTTTGCAATTGAGTAAAATAATTATCTGCAGCCTGACAATTATTTCCAATACATGGGCAATTTTTTCCATGAGATACTGGACAATCACGGCATTGAGAGCCTCCCCACGGACCTTTATAGACATCGGGATTCATTATCTATAAACATAATATCTATAAATGAAAACAGGATAAATTAAAAGAGTGTATTTACTGAGGACATTTAAATCTTACGTGAGTAAATCCATTAGCTTGAGGCACTGGATACTTGGCAACACTTAATCCAGTAGCCGCTTGCGTAGCTAATGTTCCTCCGTGGTATCCATTCTGCAGTGAAATAATTTCCTGTGCTCCAGTGTAAAGTTTTGCAATTAAAAATGCCAATTCATTGGCCTCTGATCCGCTGTTTACTAAGTAAACGACATTTAATTTTTCAGGCAGTTTTGTTTTTAATTTTTCGACGTACTCATGATACTGAGGGTGCATATAAATTACCGTAGTGTTTCCCAACTTGGATATTTGCTTTGACAGCGCCTCCACAATCTTCCTAAAAATTATAATTTTAAATGAATAAAAATAAATCAACAGATTATGATCATTATTGTTATTATTTTAAGTGGCTAAAGATAATGCGCAAATAATTTAATGTATAATAAAAATAATAATAAGAAAAGATAAGAAGATTAAACGCTTAATCAACTTACGGATGCGAGTGTCCAACACCTACAGTTACTATTCCAGCGAACATGTCGAGGTAACGACGACCAGTATGATCCCATAGCCACTGACCATGACCCTCATGTATAAGGAGCGGTTTTTTATAATAAGGACGTTCGCTTGGTGCAAGGCGCGTCAATTTAACTGTCTCATAATCAGGACCCTAAAAATATAATCAAAAATTTTTTTACATTTATAATTAAGACAAAAATTATTTTTATTTTTTAAACACTTACTTGATAAATTGGAGTCTTATATTGACAATGTGGCAATTCTGGCAATGAACTGTAACATCTTAATTGACTCCAATTGATGATACCTTAAAAATAAATTGACGTTATTTTCATATCTTTTAAAAATTAGCTCCAATTTTATTTAAAATAAAAAAACTCACCTCGAGACATTTTAAATAATTTACAATTAAATTTAAAAATAATTAATTGGAAATAAAAATCAATACTGACGTTGCGTTATCGATGAATTTCAAAAGTTGAATGGTCTCGCGGGCAACGTTGCCGGATTACATCGACAAAATGAGTAAGCGCAACTTTATTGTGTATTATTACACATGTTTATATTTTTTGCGCATGTACATTTGTACATACTGATTAAATTGCTCCACGTGATACGTCGGGCACTGACAAGTGGGAGAAAGTAAAAGTTGTTGACTTAAAAGTATCCTCATAAATAAGTATTATCATAATAATAAAATTATTTCAATTAACATAAAAAATACTAAAAAAAAAATCAATAGTACACAAACTTCTATTGTACTAAAGATTTATTTACAAAAAATACAATTAAAATTTTCAACTTCCTAATTTAGATTCATCTGTATCTCCATCAGATACTTTTTTCCGCTCTGGAGCGGGTTCAACTTTTTCGTTGTCATTAACGATACTAGTGAATTTAAATAGAATCGGAATTTTTTCTAACGCTGGATTTCGAGGCTGTAAGCACCGGATCCAAGACAGCAGTGAATCTTTGGTAGATGTTCCTGTGGCGCAGATTCCAAGTATTGTCTGCTCGTCTTGTTCGTGAATGCTACGATGTAACGCTAGAGCTCTTTTAGATCTTTTCCATAAATTTATATCCAGATTTGAAACATCTGCAATCAAAATATAAATAAATAAATAATGTAAATTATTTTTCAATCAATAAATTAAGGGGGAAATACGTGTAGAAGGTCGTTTTCATTAATTTTATTAACATAAAAAAAATTATTATTACTTATTGAAACTGTCAGGTTATTTTATACATATATTTATGAGTATTTTTTCGTATTAAACAACAATATAACTTAAAAATTTTTATCTGAAATCAATGGCACAGAAAAATTACTTTTTCTGCGCCATTGAGCCAAAATATCCTTAAGAAAAAAAATCCGTGGGAAAAAAAATTAATTTTCATAAAAAATTTCTATCTAAAAATAAATGTGACCGAGAACTGAGATTGATTATTTTTCAATGATTCCAAATTGCCGCCTTTAAGCGTGTTCTAGTTGGTTCAATAAATTAAATTTTTCTTAAATTTTTGTATATTTTGTCTACGGATTTTTTATCCATGGATATTTTATCCGGTGGATTTTTTTTCATAAAGATATTTTGTCCGCGGATATAGAGTCATAGAACCTTTTTTTGCGGGATATATTTGCTGGGAATTTTTTACCTAAAACCGCATAAAATAACCTGATAGTTTCAATACATTAACATTAATTTTCATACCTTAAAAAAATAAATAAAAAATCAGCATGAAAACGTCTTTTTGCACATATTTCCCCTTTTAACTAATTTTAATATTAATTTTACCGTCAATGTCAATATCTTCAACAATTCGTTCTTTTGGATCCGTATGAAGTAAAAAATAATCGACAGAAACTTTCCAAACCCAAATTCTGAAAGGGCCTTCTACATAAGCGGGTTGATTGGGAGGATGTTTAGAAATCAACCTCTCCTGATCAGGACTAGATGCTGAAATAATCCAAGTTTTATCGATCGAATCTTTAACTTCCTCGGTATCAAAGACCGTAATAGTCGTCTGGACATCGACACTGGATACTTTTTTAATTGCAAGCATCGCTAATTGGAAATTGTCAGTAGGAAGAGGTCGTGGATACGGCCAAGGGTTTAAGTTCTTAAATTTGCCTTGCCAGTACGCCATCCTTCGGAGTTTTCTCAGTGGTAATCCATGCTGGCCAAAGATGTTAATGACCATCAGCTCCGTTTCTGGATCTGGCATTACACCATTATCCTCCATTTGCTGGAGCAAATCAATAGCGCACTGTTGCTCACGCGGATAGTGAAACATGTCAGCTTGAAACCAAGTTTTAGCAACAAATCTTCCTTTTGGTAGAGTGTCCAACACTGCTTTGTACACTTCTAAATCATCAGCTACTCCAAATTCCTTCATATAACGCAACGCTGCGTATACAAATTGCACATGACCAGTTTTTCGTTCACCTTCCTTGATGTACGCGTGCAAAACAGCTAAAAATGTTGACTTTTCTTTTTTACTCTTTATATTAGCAGCGTCAAATAACGCGATTTTTTTCTCCTTCTCTTCCACATTTACAGAAAAATTATTTATGCTTGTATGAATAAATCTGATTACAGCTGACGGTTGTTTAAAACTTCTAGAAACTCGAGTATTTTTTGTTACAAGTCTTAGACTTGATGAAAATTTCATTGTTGATATTCTTCTGATCAACATTTTTTTTGTTTTTGAATAACAATTAAATTTTATAACAATAATAGTAATAAATTAATAAATAAGAATTATTTATGAAATTTTTCCAAGTGTCATTTTTAAAATCTGTAATAATAAATTAAAATTAGTTTTTAAATGTCTTAATTTTAATAATTTATTTATTATTTGTTTATAAATATGAAAAATAAATAAAAATAACCTAAAATAATTTTATGAAAAAATTTTTTACATTGTTAATACTTACAATTTTGCGCATAGTTATAAAGAAAACTAATATAAAAAATTTCTTCAATAAATTATTCAAAGTATAATTTATAAACAATAAATTAAATAAGTCTTGAGTTTAAATGCATGTTAGTGACTGTAAGTTGCCATTTTTAATTTTGGTATCGATATTATAGAACTTTAAAAAATTTTTGTTGTTATACTGCAGTTGATAAAAAAGTTTTCTCAAATAAGGCTAAGTAAAACACAATAAGTGACACCCGACTTCCACGTTCCACGTAATGAAAAAAAAAAAAAAAAAATATGTCTAACCTGAATGTGTTCAATTTTTAAGTGGTCAATACTTTGTATTTCGTTAAAAATTTTGATACATAAATTTCAGTGACAAATAATAATTTATAAACAAATCATGGTGGTTGTGGAGAAAAATCCAGACTTTGAAAATAATATGTCTGAAAATGAAGGAGTTACTCCAAAAGAGCAACGAGTTTATTCTTTAGAAAGTATCCTTTTTTTTTTGACAACAATTGTCACTAGCAATATTAACATATGTCATTTAATTAAGTTATTTTTATTTTTATAAATAGGGTAGAAGTACCGTTTGTGGCCACTTTATTTTCAAATTATTGTATAAATAATTCTATAAGCCCAAGACTTTATGAATCCAATTCCAAAATTTCTACTTGAATAATTAAATTTTTTACAAATTCATTATATTAAAATATCAAGTGGCCAAAAATTTAAACATTAATCAATATTATTCCTTAATGAAAAAAATAAAGTTTTGAAAATAATAAAAGATGCTCAGCAACAACATGGTCTTCGCCACGGAGACTATCAGCGTTATCGAGGTTACTGCTCACGGCGTCTTCGCAGACTCCGAAAAGTGCTCAAAGTACCCCAGGGTGACCGAAGACATTTCAAGCGAAAAGACGTGACTGCTGCAATCGTCACCGATGATAAATTTCTCCAAGTTCCACTGACGATGGCCGAACGCGCTTGGAGTTATGCTCTGCAATTGAGAATAGAATCTAATACCGAGCTGAGGAAGAAATTTCATTTGATATCCAGACTGCGTAAAGCAGCCACTTATGCTCTGCAGCTTCAAGAATTAATCGAGGTACATAAATAATCATTAAAATTTTTATGTAATAATTTAAAATAACAATTTTTTTATTTTAGAATGTGAACTGTGATGCAAGGACAAAATTGGAGGCTCAAGCTTACGTTGCTTGGATGCAAGGATCGCTTCAATTCGAGCTCCAGCTGTGGAAAGAAGCGATGACAAACTTGAAAAAGGCCCAAGTAGTCTACGGAGAGCTTGCTTCTGCTTTGCCAGAATCCGAACAAACTATTTATAAGGCTAGAGTTGAAGAGCTGGCTCCGAGCTTGAGATACTGCGCTTATAACGTCGGAGACGAGTCGGCAATTGATGATCTTATGCAAATGCGAGGTCAACTGAGCAGTGATTTGATAATGAACTTAGATACTTTGATCGCGCAAACCCAAGTTAAGCAAGCTAATGTTGAAGAAACAACTTGGCGTGGAAAATCTTGCGGAGTTGTCCCATCACGTGCTACAGGTTTATTGATCGCTGATTCCCAATTGAATCAAACACTTGCCAAGGCTCCAAATCATGAGGCTAAAATTGAGTTGCTCGAGGCTCATCTGATTGATTGCAAAGACGTGCTGGCTTTTATTCGCGATCACTTTAAAAATGAATTAAAAAATAAAGATGAAAAATCACCAGCTCAGCACTTGGTTGCTTATCTGCAGTACATAAAACTCTCCCGGACTCTGGAAAGAAATCTTGCGTTGGTAAAAATTGCCGAAGCGTCTGAAAAAGCCAAGCCGCAAGATATTGTCAGACTTTTTGAGGCTGTCCTTCACAATTTGCTGGAAATGTCTCAGCTTTTGGATGACGACGAGGAATATGTACGTGAACAGGAAGCTAAGACTAAAGGCTACCGTGCTTTTAGGTGCTTCTATATGGCTCAATCAATGGCCAATTTGCAAATGTGGCGTGAAGCTGTTGCACTTTACCAGCGATCACTTCATCACGCTCAAGACGCTCTCAAGGATAGTAAGTATCTTCCTGAAGATTTGAAGAGTGAACTAGCCAAGTTGGAGAGCTCTGTTGAAGGCGCTCAGTGTGCTGTTCATGCGCACAGTATTCTTCAGGACGAAAAAGAGGAAACTGGAGCAGTTAAACAGACTAAAAGCAAGAAACCTCTTTGCGAAAGATTGCATGAGTATCGGGAAGATCCATCGCTTCTTTCTAAACAACCCAATGTCTTCAATCTTCCACCACCCATGAAAAGCATTCCTTGTAAACCTTTATTCTTTGATCTTGCATTTAATATGGTTGAGTTTCCAGATTTGTCTGATAAATTGGGTGATCAAGGGAAGAAAAGTCAAGCTGGACTTACTGGGTTTGTTAAAGGTCTATGGGGCTGGGGTAACAAGTAATTTTTTCATATTGATTGATGTATCTCTACTTCAATGTTGGATATATTTGTAATAATCCTAATAATAATGTATCTTTAAAAGAAATATATCTAAAAGTGTATTACAAGTTGGTTTTTTTTTAATTATTTTATCTATTTTATCTATAGTATGTTTTTTTTATGTTGAAATTTAACGTAATTGTAATTTAAGTGTATTAATTTTTTTTAAAAAACTTTAAACTTTTAATATAAAGTCTCTAAAGCTACATAAAAATTTTTATAAATTTTATTTCTTTATTTTTTGAGCATTTTTTTAAATAAATAAAATTGTTTGAATGAGTAAATTAAATAATCAAGTATTTAGACTATTTCTTCTTTTGATCAATCATTTTTTTCAATTATAAAATGTTATTACTACTTAACAAAATTATTTGAATTAGTGCAAATAATTTTTTTTTTGTTCCAAAAAATTGCATTTTTGTTTTTATAAAATTTCTACATGTCAATTTTTTTTGTTTGATATCGTTTATTTGTTATAAAATTTTTAAAATTGTTAAATATAGTCAAAACACTAAAAAAAAAAAAGTTGTAGAAAAATATAAATGCCTTTAATGTGTATTACGCATGCTCGATGCTGGATGGGGGTACTTTTTACTCACGTTCTGACCGCACTGCGCATGCTTCACAAAATCACGTGGCAAGAAATTCTTCATAAAAGTTTACTATTTCAAAGTGTTTTCAAGAAAAAGCCGTACAACACTTGTTGAACGTTGAATTAAATTTCTTTTTTTGTTTAACGAAAATTATTACATAATTACGATGGAAAGTGAGTTGAAAAATTTAGCAGTAATGCTTTTCGATGTTGGTGCAATTAAATTTGGTGAGTTTATCACCAAAGTTGGACTCAAAACACCGGTGTACATCGATTTGAGGGTTATTATTTCATATCCCAAGCTTCTCGTAAGTTTTTATAATTTGAAATAAAAAACATGATACTAAAATTATATAGCAAACATTTGACAATTTTTAATTTTTTGAATCAATACAAATTATTAGTAAAAAAATATTTTTTTTTATAAATTGCACTTGAAATTTTTCAATAAAAAAATTATAAAAATTTTCTGATGTAATTTAATTTTCATATAAAAAATTGTTTGTTCAATTTTAATGATACTGAAATTAAGAGACTAATAATTTTAAAGAATTTTTTTAACTCCATCTTTAGAGAATTTAAATAATTCTAAGTGTAATTATTTTTTAAAATAATTTACTAGACTTAGTTTATTATTTAAAAAAAAAGTAAAAAAATAGTCAAGTGTGCTAATCTCAATGTTCTTAATTTTAAAAAATATTTTTTTGTTTTACAGAACCAAATATCGAATATTCTATGGAAGCTAGCTGATGATGTAGACAAAATCGATCAAATTTGTGGTGTTCCATACACAGCACTACCAATAGCCACTTTAATATCAGTGGACTCTAACATCCCCATGCTGATAAGACGAAAAGAAGCAAAAAGTTATGGAACAAAAAAATTAATCGAAGGAAAATTCGCGGCTGGGGATAATACTGTAATTATTGAAGATGTGGTAACCAGCGGAAGCAGTATTCTGGAGACTGTTAAAGATCTCAAGCAAGAAAGTTTGAATGTTACAGCCGCCTTAGTAATTATGGACAGAGAGCAAGGTGGTAGAAAAAACATCGAAGACAGTGGAATAAAAATGAAGAGCTTGTATACGATGACTAAGTTGATGGAATATCTCCAGGAAGCTGGAAAAGTAACCCAGGACACTGTAGACGGTGTTTTAAAGTATTTGGCTGAGTGTTTGGCGCCTGTTAAGACTTTAGAGAAAGGTAAGACAAAGATTTGATTTATTTATTAATAAAAAAAATAACTAAGTAATAATTTATAAATTTTTTGTAATTGTAGAAGGCAATGATCGATTGAAGATGGACTTTTTGTCGCGCTCAAAGCTAGCAAAGAGTCAGATTGCAGCTAAATTGCTCCAACTCATGGACATGAAAGAGACAACACTGTGTTTAGCCGCTGATTTGACTAAAGCTGACGAAATTGTAGATTTAGTAAAGCTCGCTGGTCCTCATATAGCCGTATTGAAAATCCACGTTGATATTATTGAAGATTTCAATCAAGATTTTATTAACCAGTTGAAAAATTTGTCAGAGAAACATAAATTTTTAATCATGGAAGACCGTAAGTTTGGAGATATAGGCAATACAGTTTCATTACAGTACTCTAAAGGTGTTTACAAAATTGCTGAGTGGGCAGATTTGATCACTGTTCATCCTGTAGCTGGTCCAGGAATTTTAGATGGGCTTAAAAATGCTTTGAAAAATATTACTGATGAACGAGGGATTTTTTTGATCACCGAAATGTCTTCCAAAGGTGCACTCACTACCGGAGATTACACCAAGCAGACTCTGACTATGGCAGAGACATCTGACCTTGTTGTAGGTCATGTTTGTCAGTCGAATATTTTCTTAAATCCTGGACTTGTTCAATTAACACCTGGCGTTAAGATTTCCAAAGCTTCTGACGATTTGGGCCAGCAGTACAATACTCCGGAAGCTGTTGTTAACTCTGGTGCTGACTTGGCAGTCGTTGGTCGTGGTATTACCGAAGCTGCAGATAAACTTCGTGAAGTTATTAATTACAAAAATCAACTTTGGACCGCGTACAAAAATAGAATTAATTAAATATTAAGATAATTTATAAAAATTGACTACTTGTAAAATACATTATAAAATAATCATTTATTTTTCACTTAAAAGTTAACAGATAAAAAATATAATTAATTTCTAAATTCGTATTTTCTTTTCTTCTGCACCAATTATTCAATTATCATTGGCATATAGTTAAGCAATGCAGAAGTACCAAGCATTCATCTGTAACTGGCAGTCTTCACCATCGTCCCTATTTAATGTGTAATGTAAAATGTATCGGAATTAAGCTTCTTTACTTTTTGTTAATTCTTCAACGAGTTTTCTCAACACTTGGGCTACTTGACTGTCCGGCATAGAAATCAAAATACTCTGTCCTTTATCAGCTAGCTTGCCAATTGCCGGGTCAATTGGTAATTTTGCTAGGAATGGTACTTTTACCAGCTCAGATAAAGCAACACCTCCTCCAGATGAAAATATATTTGTACATTCCTGTAATATAATATTTGTATTCATAAGTACTCTGATCATACTCGCTAACTTTTAAATATTGTAAAATTGAAATAAATTTTTATACAAATTTATCAAAACTATAAATTATGTAAATTAACAATGACTACACTGGATAAAAAAATTTAATAATTAAATACTAGCAACTTGGCAGTTACTATGTGATTGTCGTGGGTTGAGAACTATAAGCTCACTCCGATGTTACACTCATCAAGACCTTTCATTTGAGTACCCACATGAATTTTGATATAGTTTTCATAAATATATATATATATGAAAAATATATAAAAAATGCATGTGGGTACTCAAATGAAAGCTCTTGATGAGTGTAACATCAGGATGAGCTTATATCTTTAAAAATGTAAATAATTCGCAAGATATCTGTTAAATTGCACTGTACTTTTCTAACTATTGACGTTTTTTAAGATATAAGCTCATTCCGATGTTATACTCACCAAGAGCTTTCATTTGAGTACCCACATGCATTTTTGATATATTTTTCATACATACATATATATATATATATAATATATATAAATATATGAAAAATTGATGTGGGTACTCAAATGAAAGGTCTTGATGAGTGTAACATCAGGATGAGCTTATATCTTTAAAAATGTCAACAGTTCACAAGATATAAGGTCATTTCTTAATTATTCAACTAGAGATGGAGCATTTTCGAATGCAGCCTATATACTTATCACCATAAATTGACTATTGGTGAGAATGATATAAAATCATGACAAGACACAATTCCAGGTCAAAACTTTTCCAGCGACATCAAATTTAATCATAGAAATCCATTTTATCATATAAATACATTAGCTACAAAATTTTTCTTATTTTCTTAATAATATAGATAATACTCACAGAACAAGTTGGACACACAAATCCACTCATGTTCTCAACGATCCCAATAATAGGTATCCCCGTTTTTCGACAAAACGTGACTTCTTTTAAGACATCATCAACAGCAACTGCCTGAGGTGTAGTTACAATAATAGCTCCATCACACTTGACTCCTCTATTTGGACAACAATTCAAGAAAATATTGTTATAATCAAAAACATGTGATGATTTACTTTATATGTATACACAACTTATTGATTAATCACTTGAGAAGCTTATCTATCTCGTGACTAAAGTTTATCTACATATTAATACTAATTCCCCCTAATAAAGAATCACAGATTTATGATCGCGGCAGCATGTGACTGATAATAGAACACATATGACTGGTTATTTATCACAACCTGAACTCGTTACAATTTAATATATCTCAAATTCAATAAAATGATAAATCAATAATGCATAAAAATATAAATAAATATTTTAAGAATATAAATAATTTCGTACTTTAAATTTTCCATCACCGTAATATGTTCATCTGAAGTTCCAGGAGGTGTATCAATAATCAGATAATCGATGTCATTCCAAGCAACATCAGTTAGAAACTCTTTTATCATTCCCGTCTTCTTAGGACCTCTCCAGACGACACTGTCATTGCGGTTTTTTAGAAGAAATCCTATTGACATTACTCCCAAAGTTTTGTCTTCATCAGTATAAACTGGGATCCATCTAAAATCGCAAGTTTATATCAATTCATCATGAAAATAAAGTTAGCATACATCTGACAATTTTTAGAATTTTTCTTATTGAAAAATTTGTAAAAAAAAAAAAAATTTTTTTTAATTCCACATGTAAAAAATTTAAAAAACAATAAATGCAATTTTTTAAAATATTTTTTTAGCTCTAATTTAATTAATGAAAAAAAAAAATATAAAAAATTGTTTTAAAAATTGTGAGCTGTCAGCTGATTTTAGTATCATAAATTATTAGAATAAATAATGATAATGATACTTACCCTTCTGATGATTGATAAACATCCTTGCCTTCCAAGTTCAACAGGTAAGGAACACTGGGACCACATAGATCAACATCCAGGATTCCAACCTAAATAAAAAATTTATACTCAGTATTTAAAGTTTAATTATTGATAAATTTATATCGAAATAATTTTTACCTTAAATCCAGATACTTTTAAAGCTAGAGCCAATTGTGTACTAACTGTTGACTTCCCAACACCACCTTTGCCTGACAAGACCATAAAAATATGCTTGACACCCTCTAACATCTTGGTGAATACAATTTTTATTAATCACTTTAATAAATAATGTTAATAGTAAAAAAATAAATTATTGTCTTCTAATCATTGCCCGTATATCTACACAGTCACTTAAATATTTGCGAGTTTTTTCCATACAATTTACAAATTTATTGTTATGTAGTGAAGTTGGAGTCATGTGGGCTCGAAGAAAGAAATTGGATACATTAAATTTCTAATTTAACTCCTTTTTATAAGTCAGATGGAGCTGCTGGTGTTGTCATTTGCGTTGCGTAGCATTGAAATACCAGGTGTCACGGGTTTTTAAATAATCAATAAGATATTTTTATTTGTTTGCTTACTTTACATTTATGTAAACAAACATTTATGAAGAATGGTAAGGAAAGTTATGAAATTTTTTTAATTTTATTCATTCTATCATTTAATAAAATTATTTAAAACTTAATATTTACATTTAAGTAAAGTGAAAATTTCATTGATTATGACTATGAAGATCATAAATAAAAATATAACATTAAATTTAGCTGTCATTTCACAATTTGTTAAGTTTCTTTAACAAAAAGTGTTCCAAAAAATTGCATTTTTTATTTATTAAAATTTCTACATGTCAATTTTTTTTGCGATAATTTATTTATTAAAAATTATGAAATATCTGCTAAATTAATTTTTATATAAAAATATATGTGTTTTTTTTTTCTTTTTTAAATGAACATTAAATTTTATGAAGTATAATTAATAAATAATAAATTTCAGATACTTTCACGGGCAAAACCAGCCCTGTCAGAAAGCAGAAAGCCAGGAACGCGAAAAGATGTTCCCAAGTTGGAAGAATTTCTGGAAAAACGAGACTATGCCGGTGCCTTGACATTAGTTGAGTTCAATAAATCAAACAGCAATATCCAGGACACGGATATGTGGATAGCGTATTGTGCTTTTCATCTTGGAGATTACAAGAGAGCTACCAGCGTCTATGAAAGCTTGAGAAGGAAAGGAAGAAATGATGTTGCTACTAATTTAGCTTGCTGCTATTTTTACTTGGGAATGTATCCAGAAGCTAAAGAAGTATTAAATGATGCTCCTGAAAGTGGTTTAAAAACCCGAGTAATGTTTCATTTGACTCACAAGATGAGCGATGAAACCAAGCTCAAAGAGTACCATGCTAAACTTAAAGATGTTATTGAAGACCAGTTGTGCCTAGCTTCTATTCATTATCTTCGAGCTCATTATCAAGAAGCTATTGATATTTATAAAAAAATTCTTCTTGATAATAGGTAATAATTTTATTTTTAATTAATGATACAACTTTCATCAATTATATCCTAATTTTAGTGAGCACATTCCTAAATCCTCGAAATTCAATTCCCAGCGTCTGTTCCTTACCCTTCTTAAGAAACCAAGGTATTCATCAATAAAAACTTGGGTAAATATTTACAAGTAGAGCCAACCATTTTAATTTTCATTTTTTTTTAACAACATTTCTATTTGATTTTATTGATATATTTTTTTTTTTGAAAAATACATAAAAAAATGAACAATTAAAAAAAAAAAAAGTTGATTATTACAATTTTAACAAATTTTCAAAAAAAATATATAAAAAATATCAGAAAAAGATAAAATAGAAATTTTATTCAAAAATATGAGAGCCAAAATTTTTTTCAACTTTTGAAGGCAAAAAAGCTATCGAAAAAAAATTAAACAATGTCAATTTTTCACGTAGATACGACCAAAAATAGGGTTGACTTCATTCGTAAATAATTATCAAAACTTGAGTGATTATGATCATAATTAATCTTCTATTTAATGTAGGGATTATATGGCCTTGAATGTTTATGTAGCATTGTGCTATTATAAACTAGACTACTACGATGTAGCTCAAGAAGTCCTTCAAGTTTACTTGCAAAAGTACCCAGACAGTGCAATTGCTATTAATTTAAAAGCATGCAATCACTTTCGTCTTTATGACGGCACCACGGCTCAGACTGAAATGAGGCAGTTGATAGAAAAAACAACTTCTTCGTACAGTTTTGGACATGATTTAATTCGTCACAATATTGTGGTAAGTGTATATTTTTCTAAATGTTAATATAATGAATTTTAGTTAATAAATTAAATTTATTCAATTTAGGTATTTAAAGACGGTGAAGGAGCATTGCAAGTCTTACCAGGTTTAGTCGATGTCATACCAGAAGCCCGATTGAACCTGGTAATTTATTATTTAAAGCAGAATGAAATTCAAGAAGCTTATGAACTGATAAAAGATCTAGAACCGGCAGTCCCACAAGAGTTTATTCTAAAAGGAACAGTTTGCGCAGTAATCGGACAGGAAACCAGTTCACGAGATATCATTAAGACAGCTCAGCAGTATTTCCATTTGGTGGGTTCATCAACTTCTGAATGTGACACAATACCGGGTCGTCATTGCATGGCAGCTTGTTTTTTTCTTCTTCGTCAATTTGAAGAAGTTTTGGTCTATTTAAATTCTATAAAAACTTATTACACGAATGATGATAGTTTTAATTTCAACTATGCACAAGCACAAGCGGCTGCGGGTTACTTCAAAGAAGCAGAGGAAGCATTTCTACTGATTCGAAGTGAACGATTCAAGAATGACTACGTTTATATAAGCTTACTGGCTTATTGTTACATTATGAATAAGAAAGCTCACATTGCTTGGGAGCTCTATTTAAAAATGGACACATCGACGCAATCTTTTAATCTTCTACAGTTAATTGCAAATACTTGCTACAAAATTGGTGAATTTTGGTATGCTGCTAAGGCGTTTGATATGCTAGAACGTATGGATCCATCACCAGAACATTGGGAAGGCAAACGAGGCGCTTGTTGCGGAACTTTTCAATTTATTGTTGCTGAAAAACAACCCAAGTAAGCTTTTAATCCTTCAGTACTCAAGTTATTCGGCTCATCTTTACTCTCTCCATAAGAAAAAAATCTCATAGCCTTCAAAAAATGATTTTTTTTTTTCATTTATACTGAAAATAAGTAATTTTTTAACAAACAGTTGAAAAATAAAATTTTCGGAAGGTAAAAAAAAATTTCAAGTGGTCTTTCCATTTGAATTTAAAAAAATAATTAAAATTAAAACCAAGCATGCTCTGTTTAAAAATATATTCATTGAAAAAAATTAAAAAAATTCGTTCTATCCAAATTATATATCTATAAATATATACTGAGAAATTGAAATTATTGGCAAAAATTCAAATTTCATGATAGTGAATTTTTTTCAATGAATATTTTTAAACAAGGTGAATAAAATTCTTTTAACGTGGTTACTGATGTTAATGATATGATAAATTTAGGGCCAGTTTTTCAATCCAAGATAAAATTTTATTCGATGCCAATATATATATATATCTATAGATTTTATGTTTATAGATATATTGGCAGTAATAATTTTATTCTAGATAAAATTTTATCTCGGATTGAAAAACTGACCCTTAGTAAAACTGTTCAGAAATAATATACTGATTAATTTTATTCCAGAGAGTTATTAGTTGAAGTTATTCAATTGCTGAGAAACACATCTAATTCTCAAGTGGAACAAATAATTCGTGTTATGAAAAAATGGGGAAAAGACAAGAGGATTCCTTGTTGATTTTATTATAAATAATTCAAGATTATTAATCCGTCCATAATGTATTTTATTATTCATTTAAAATATATTTAAATATTATATAAATTTGACTTTTTTTATTCTTGAACTTGAGTGATTTAAATAATTTAGTTTAAAGAAACATGCAGCGCGACCGCACTTCAATTACCGCGCATGCGCGTTTAAAAATGTTCTTATAAATAAAACTAACCTGTGTGAGAATTATTATTTAGATCAATTATTACCGAAAGAATTATGTTTGGAAAAATTATACCAATATTTACTCAAGTAATACCGTAAGTTTTTAAAATTATTTTGTTAATTATAAATATTTAATAAACAGATAAATATTATAATTTATATAAATCCTTAGATCAATTGGTATCAAAACAGTGAGACAATTCAATACAACTTATACTGCATTAAAAGGAGTAAGACAAGTACCTTGGAAAATTGATCATACCAAATGGCCAATGACACCCATCAGAAGAAAAATGCGTGATAATTTTCCGTATCCCAATGAAGTAAAAAGAGTAAGGACCCATGGATACCAAACAAGGATGTCGACACTTCATGGACGAAAAATATTAATGAGGCGTATTTTAGCCGGTCGCTTTATCCTTTCGCATTAGATATTTAAATATATTAAGACATTTATTAAATTTTAATATTAATTGTTTAATAATAATCAATATTATTTACATATGTATAAAATAAATTGAAGATAATCATAAGATTTATTTTACGTTATTGCTAAACATTGTTTAGAGTCTAATTGTTCTTCTTCATCATTGTTTAATGTCGAATTATTATTAGTAGAATTAATTTCATTGTTGATAGGCATGAAAAGTTGTTCTTTAAAACCTAATTGATCACACGTCCATATGAATTCTGGCTGCAGAGGAGCTGTGATAGAAATATCGTTTCCTTTCTTTAAAAACGAAGGCAAAAACATTTCTCTGAGATGAACATGAGCTGGAATCATGTTAGTTTTGCTCGGAATCATTTTAATTGTCTTTAACAAGTCTGGATCCAATTTAGGAGGTACATGTGCTGCTTCAACAAACGGAGAGACTAGTAAAAATTTCCCCATCACGTTTTGAGCTCTGGATCCGTAAACTCTGTCTCCAAGAATCGGACTTAGTGTCACGGTTGCAGCAAATAATCTTACAGCGTGCCATTGACTCGTAGAAGCTTTTACTTCCATCAAAGAAGCTAAATTGTGGGACGCAGTTGACAGAACTTTAAATTGTACATTCAGAATTTTAATGTCACCACGTGCGCGCTCATTTTCAGACCATTTGGGTACTATAACTACTTCCTTGACACCTTTTTCAGGACCCTCCATAAGCTTCATAGCTACTCTTCTTTCACCTTCAGGAAATATTGGATTTCTGCGTGTTACTGTCCAATAAGTACGTGGTATTATTCGCGCGCCTTCTGCTCTTCGCATTGACTTTGCAATAGCTTCTGTTATTTTATCACTTGCACTGAGCAAGGTGACGCCAGATGTAAATTTTTCCGGTGTCTTTGCTATTACTAGTGATTCATAGCCTAATTCTTTGGCAATGTGTGGTACTGCGTCGGTTAACACATACTTTTTTTCATTGAAAATTCCACTAACTGTTTGCTGCTTTTTTTTATTCTCAAAGTCAAACGGTCTTGATGATATACCGTAGGGTTTATTAATTGCTACCAAACCATCTGTTAAATAAAAATTTTGTTTTTATTAATATTTATACTATTAATTAAACGGGATTAAAATAGCAAGTGTTCAATAATTTGTTTTTAATTAAATTATAACGTTGAAAAAAAATAACACTGAAATTACACTTGACGATTTTTAAAAGTAAACTAAAATTTTAAACATAAAATTTTCCTAATTAATTATTCTCGGTGTAATTTATTTGTTAAAAAAATCATTAAATATCTATAGTAAATAAATAATAAAGTTAGCCGACATTTTTGTTTTTTTTCTTAGCTTAATTTTTTAAATTATAACTAAAAAATATTTTTAACAAATTGCAGTTTTTGAATTAGTTTTTGAAATTTTTAACAAATGAAAAAATTTTTTTGTAATAATTCTTTAATAAAAAAAGTCATAAAAATTTTTAGATTTCGGCTAACTTTATTTTCATTAATTTAAATTTCTTTCAATTTCAGTATCATTAAATACAAAAATTGTTCATCTGCTATTTTAACTTTAAAAAATAAATTATTTAAAAAGTAACCTTTGTTATAAATAACTTGCTTAACCATACTCTCGCAAAAAAGAGCTTTTGACTTCCATGGATGAATTATTCTGTAAGGATGAGATTTTGTAACTTTATTTTTCTTAGGAAGTTTCAACTTTGGTTGAGTGTGATTTAATCTCGAACAACCCATCAAACGTAGAATGTGATAGTTCATCGTTGATTTTATAAGAATATTCTCCATAGTGACTGTCTTTAATTATAAAATATTATTTAGAAAGAACAAAAACAATTTTTTTAAAGAACTCAGTAATGATTGTCAATAAATAATATACACGTTTCTATCCCAAACAATTACTTTGTATACTAAAGCTGCGTTTTCATGTAAATTAATATTCATTTTTTTTGGTTATCAAATCATCTATTCTAACAATTAAAAATTCCCATCAAAAATATTTTACAAAAATAATGATTTAAAAAAAATTATTAATTAAGCTAAATAATGTAAAAATTTTTTTTAATTAATTAAAAAATACTTTATTAAATATGACACTCTGGTTAGCAGACGTCTAAAAATTTTTAATTTTTTTTTATTAATTAAATTGCAACTAAAAAAATATTTCTAAAAAATTGCACTTGTAGTTTTTCAAGTTTTATAGATGTGAAATTTTTTTTTTGTTTAATTGAAATTTTTTCAATAAAAAATTTATTATTATAAATTTATTATTTTTAAAAATATAAAAAAACAATAGTAGTTAAATATCTGTAACTTGTTATATAATTTTACAAATAATAAAATTATTTTTTATTTTAAATCTTTCATAAATAACATAAAAAAAAATAAATCTGTGACGTCATAACGGTTGGTTAGCTCATCACAATTATATATTTAAGATGCATGGAGTATATAACAGCAGCAGGCAAGCGGGCGGCAGTTAGGACAACCAAAAAGCAGAAACTATGGAGACTATACACACATATGGAGGGTATAGTCTCCATAGCAGAATAGCAGAAACTAAAAACTGAGAGTGTCGTCCATTGCACGCTGGGAAATAAAGTCTGCCATCTTGAGTGGCATGGTCTTTACTCAAAGTGCGTCGACGATGAGAAATGGCGATAATTAGTGAAAATAATACTGTTGTGATTTACACTAGTTGTTGAATATATAAATAAAAAACGTTCTATTAAGTATTAACAATAATAAAACAACAATGGATGCGGTAAAGGCATTTAATGGAGAGGTAATGATACACCGCTGTACTTCTCTAGATTATTATATTTTGGAGGTCACCGTGTTAGGGTGAACCCTCCCTCTTTTTTTTCAACATCAATGATGCCGTGTAAAATATAAATACACAGATTAATTATTGATCATAATTATCTATAAAATATTTTTACAATTTTATCTACTTATAAATATTTATTTATTTGAGTAAATACTATAAATATGATTACCTAATAATGTTTAGGTTCAATGACTGATGTCATTTAAGTTTAAATTTTAATGGCTGATACTAATTTATCATTTATTTTATTACAGCTGTCTGCTCTCTATGATGTCAAGCCGCCGATATCCAAGGCTAAGATGAATTCACTGACAAGAGGCGCGATAAAAGCTATAAAATTTTACAAACATGTTGTACAGAGTGTAGAAAAATTTATACAAAAAGTAAGTTATTGTTTACAGTATCAAAATAGATTTTTTAATATTTTTAATTGAATGTTTTTTTAATTATTTATTTTTCAGTGTAAGCCAGAGTACAAAGTACCGGGTCTTTATGTAATAGACTCTATTGTGCGGCAGTCTAGGCACCAATTTGGCGTTGAAAAGGATGTATTTGCCCCGAGATTTGCTAAAAATATGCAAACAACATTTTTGAATTTATTAAAATGCCCACCAGAGGATAAAAGCAAGGTGATACGTGTATTAAATTTGTGGCAGAAAAATTCAGTATTTCAACCTGAAGTTATTCAACCATTATTCGACCTTGCCGATCCAAATCATCCGATTCACAAAGAGCAAGCGATTAATTCTAACGGAGCATTAAATACTAGTGGTAATAATTTAAGTAATCTTGGTTCTATAACTAAAACACCACCGGGTGGTAAAAACACACCTAAAGATCAAAAAATGTTCTCTGCTAAGACTATTGACCCTGCATGGTTGGCACAGACTAAATTAGAGACCGCCAATATGGTTAATGCTAATAAATTACTCGGTCAGTCGGGTGCTAATCAAGTTGACGCTTCATTTTTAGATCAGCTTCAACATCTCCAGCAGTTGCTATTAAAAAAACAAGAAGCATCTAATGATACTCCAAGTTCTGTTAAATTTGACAAGAAATTGTTAGACTTTGATTATGGAGAAGAGGAAGATGATGATGTAATGATGGCAAGTTCACCTGCGGCAGCAGTTACTGCTAGTAATCAGCACAACGCAGTCACGAGTGGCAATCTTGAGAGCCTGGGATTATTACTGACCAACCCGGAGGTTTTGAGACAGTTACAGACCTTGCAGCAGACTATGCAAGGTAACGTAGCGACAGCACAGCTTGAAATGGAAGAAAAAATGCGGAAACTTCAGCAGATGAAGCAGCAAGAAGATGAGTTTGATAAGCATCTAGCTCAAACTGTACCGAACCTTCCGTTTGCTTCTGAGTGTGAGCTAAAGCCTTCGGATGTTCTCAAACCAAGTCAGCACAATACGTATAGCAATGTGTCGAATTTAATGCAGCAGGATATGAGCCAGCCACCTCCAGGATATCCACCGGCATTTGTTTCTCAATCAACCTCAGCACTAAGACAGCCAATCCACTCAAACCAAAAGAGTCCTCTGATAGACGAGCGACAAGACTCCCAAGATTATCAGTCGACGCAGACAAGACGTGACAGCAGCAGCGTAGAAATTGTTAATTTAGATTCTGTCAGGTCTCAGAGCAGATCTCCAGAACGCTTCCGACGCCACAGTAGGTCCAGGTCGCCTCGTCATCGTGGTCGAGATCGGGACCGAGACAGAAAATCCCGATCCAGGAGTCGCTCACGGCGACAGAGGTCCCGGTCGCGTGAACGCAAGCGTGAAGAAACTCGCGCTAAGAATTCTGAGGAAGAGAGAGAAAAAGAACGAGAGCGAAGAAAACGTGGATTGCCGCCGATTGAAAGGGAAAAAATGAGCGTATGCAGTACTACGCTTTGGGTTGGGCATTTATCTAAGCTTGTACATCAGGAGGAATTGTCTGATACGTTTGGCGAGCTTGGTGATATTGTTAGCATTGACTTGATTTCACCTAGAGGGTGTGCTTTTATTTGTATGAACAGGCGACAAGACGCCTATCGAGCTTTGACGAAACTTAAAAATCATAAAATGCAAGGCAAAGCTATCACGTTAGCCTGGGCACCTGGGAAAGGTGTTAAAGGCAAAGAATGGAAGGATTATTGGGAAGTTGAGCTGGGTGTTAGTTATATTCCTTGGAATAAGTTGAATAATGTCACTGAACAGGAATTGGAGATGCTTGAAGAAGGTGGAATGATTGATGAGGACACGCTACCTCCAAGACTGAAAGGTATTATTTTTGCTGAGTTTATTTTGTTGTTTAATTGGAAAGAAATGCAAGTTTAATCTAGATACATTGAGCGTTGTTTAAATCGTTTGTGTCTTGAACCAACTTGCAATAGTAAATTTAAGCTTTTGAGCCAATCTAATTTTTATCAATTTTTTTTTTTTGGTCAAGCAAGCTTAAAACAAAAAATTTTTTAATAAATTTATAACTTTTATCGGTAATCGGAAAAAATAAACTTGGAAAAAATATTAAAGTTATGAAAAATTCATATTATATTATTAAAATTATAATAATAATAATAATTGTATCACACACATTTTTTGTTACAAAAAAAATATTATTATTATTATTATTATTATTTTTATTTTATAATAATTTTAATGAAATAATATGAATTTTTTGTAACTTTGATATTTTTTCCGGGACTCCTTTTATTTTATCACAGTTAGTAATAATTTATTTTTTTTTTTTTTTTTTTTTTTTTTTTTTATAGGTAAACTGAAGCATTCAGGATCTAAAGAAGGAATGCAAGCAATCCAAGTGCCTCCAATTGGGGGTGCTCCAATTCCAACATTAACAGATGGAATTGTTAACGTAATGCCACCGTCAACAGCGACACAACAGCAACCTATGATTGACACAAGTCAGCCACCGCCAATCAGAGCAACGGCTTCAACTAATTTGATGCCACCTACTAGCGCTCAACTATCAATGATGCCACCAGGATTCCCTATGACAGGAGTTCCACGTAAGTAATTTAATAAAGCAATTTCTAGGTCTTCTTTTTTTTTTATTGTTTAAAAAAAAAATATTTAATTTTTAATTTTTAATTTTTAATTTTTAATTTTTCCATTCCAATCAGTCAACAATGCAGGTATGCTTGGACCTCCAATGGGTTTACAAATGCCGCATGGTTTAATGCCAAATGTACCAATTGGAGTACCTCCACCAAACATGCAAGGGCTTTTGGGTCCTCCGGGAATGATGCCGTCGATGCTAACACAACAAGTTAACTCTCCTTTTGGCGCTGGAGTCGGCGTTGGTCTTATTACTCAAATTCCACTTCCTGCACCTGCTGCACCATCAGATAAATCAAACTCAACAGGTATATTACCTTACAGCTTTTTTTTATATTAAGGAGGTCGGATTGTATATATTATATTTAAAAATACAAATTACATTGAGACAAATAAATATAATTTTTATTTAAAATTTGTAATATGATAATGCAGTTAGACCTCCTTGAATATTAAAAAAGCATTGAAATTAATTGATGATTTAAATTACCAGGCATGCCTCACAATGTACCGCCGATGGGTGTGCCACCTCCTACGGGAGAAACTAACCTACCAAATCTTCCAATGCTTCGTCAACCATTTAATGTCGGTCCACCACCACCACCAATGCAAATGCCAATGCAACAGCAGCACTCCGAGGATATGGATGTTGAAATGGAAGACGTTATGCCTCCAAGTTCAATAAATCCTCCGAAAGATAAGCCGAACTTGAGTGACCAGTTGCTGGCAGCTATGAACAAAGCTCCAAATATGAATGACAGAGCAGATAGTGAGCGAGAGTTCAGAGATCGGGATCGAGATAGAGACCGTGAGAGAAGAGATCGAGGTGAGCGTGATAGAGCTGACAGAGATGGAAATGACAGTCGGGGACGAGACCGTGGTCGAGGAAGAGACAGAGGTCGTGATCGAAGACGAGACGGTCGGGAACGCGACCGAGATGATCGACGAGATCGTGATCGAGATATGAGACCTCATGATGGTCCGCTGCCGTTGCCAGGTTCGGGCGTTGGACTTCTTCAGGAACCAGACATGGGTCCCAAAAAAGATAAAATGAGCTTGGCTGATAGATTACGGCAATTGGCTGATGGTACTCTGCCGATGGACGACAGAATGGATCGTGGCATGCGTGATCGCAGTGAGCGCAACATGGATAACAGAAGCGACAGACCGCCGCCTTTTGAAGACATCCCTGGTGGTCGTAGACCCGGAGATGGTCCACCGTCGTTGTTAGACCTTCCGAAGTTCCCGGGTGTACCTGGTGAACGACCAGACTTTGGACCACGTGGCCCAGATTTTCGAGGGCCTCAAGATCATCGCGACTTCCCGCGAGGTGATCGTGATCGTCCTGGATTTGGTCCTCGTGGTGGCGGTCCCAGAGGACCTATGGACGAATTTCCGGATCACAGAATGCACGCTGGACGTTTTCCGGATGAGTTTGAGCGACATGGAGGTCCTCGACCGAATGACTTTGATCACCGCCTAGGTATGGGAAGAGATACGGACTTTGAACGTGCTGAGCACCGTGGCCGGCATCCAGATGAGTACGATCCAGATAGACTTGAGTTTGACAGACGGCCAAGAGACGGATTTGATCCGCGAATGCCAGATGGATTCGACGCCCGAGCTCATCCGGACCATCCAGATTTTGATCCGAGAAGAAGAGATTTCTTTGGGCACATGGAACCTGGATTTGGCCCTCCGATGGGTCCTCGAGGTCCCAGAGGTCCAATGGGTCCTGATGGATTCGGATCGAGACCCGGAATGGGTCCGCGAGGTCATGGTGAGTTATTACTCAATGATTCTTAATAAGCACATGACTGATTTGTATGTTTTTATATTTATTTATATTATTTTTTATAATAATTATTTGAGTCATATAAAGAATTTTATTAATTATTATCTATACAAATAATAATTATTGTCATATTAAATTTTAAAAGTCTGATAATAAGCCGAATGGCTAACACTTCATTGAAAGTAACACTACTGATATTGTTTTGACAGTTGTGTTAATTAATTAATATATTTCAAGATGCCTGAAGAAGTCACACAATACGTGACAAAATTTTTCAGAATTGAAAAAGAAAATTAACATAATAATATAATATTGATCTGTATAACCTGAACCGTAGTTAATGATTTAATTTTTTATTTTATATTTTGTGATAGCAAGACTCGTCATTAAAATTTTTTCTGTTACAGGTCCTCCGATTTTCCATCGGGGAATGGGACCAAGAGGAATGAGGCCAGGCATGCGACCACCATTTGGTCCACGAGGTCCATTTGACCCTCGTGAAGGCGAAGCTTTCTTCAGAGGACCATTTGACGACAACCGTGGTCCACCGTCTTCCCACTTGAGACCACCACCTTTCGGTGGACCACCAGGACCTCCACTTCCAGATCCTTGGAGAAATCCAGACGCTGTGCCTCCACCATTGCCGCCCGTCTGGGCTAGTATGGAAAGCAACAATGGACATGAGCCAGATGAACACACTCGTGAAAATCATGTTAACCAGCGCGATAATAAAGGTCATATGAGTCGTGACAAGCATCAAGAACGTGACCGTGATCGTGATCGTGATCGTGATCGTGATCGTGATAGCAGAAATTCGAGAAACAGAAAATCTAGATGGGGAAATGCTAGTCCACTGCCACAAGAACAATCTGAAGCTGCAAGATCTGATCAAGATTCTGGAGAAAAGAAAATATTTGACGAAAATCGTACTGTTGACAATGATAATTCAAAGGGAGCTGACGAACATCGTGATCAATCGACGATAAACGAATCATCGAGTGAATTACAACAACCTAAGGGAGATGTTGATAATAGTCATGATAATCCTGAGATGAATCATGTGCCAACAATAGATGATGCAAATAATTTCGATATTCCAAGCTTTGACAAACATGATGCGCCTGAGAGTCATGAGTTTGATGAGCCACCTAAAAATGTTGATCGAGCTTACGAGGAAGAACATTATCATCATCATCATCAACAACAGCAGCAGCAGCACCAGCAAGAGCAGCCCGAGCAGTACCAAGAAGTGCAGTCGCATCAAGAAAAAATTGAACAACATCAACAAGAACAACATCAATCATCAGTTGAAGATGATAACACATCAAAACCCATGGAGATTCAAAATGAAAGTGATGCGCCGGTGATAGCTTCGGAAGAAACGTTGTAACAAGTTTAAATACGCTTTTGGGATGTTGAGAGTGACCAAAGTAAGAGACTTAAAAAGTAATTGGATCTCTCCCCGGCCTGAGAGGGTTAATTTTTGTAAATTATCATCCATTATTAACGGTGTACATAAAACAAATAAGAGCTAAAATGATTTTAATAATGCACGAAGTGAATAGATAAAAAAAAAAAAAAAAAAAAAATATTAGAATATGAACATTGGAAGTTGAAGTGCTGGTTTGTTGGAGTGGTGGCAAAGAAAAAAATAACAGTGAATAATCCAGTGAGTCTCGATTAGAAAAATATTCTTCTATCTCTTTTCTAAATTTATTTATTATTATCATTATTTTTATTTTTATTGATATTTAGAAAAATTTAAAACTTGGAGTAAAATGAATAATTAAATTTTGACGTAATAACAAACGTTCTAGTCGTTTGTATTTGAAAGTATTCGAGAGTATATAATTGAAAAAATATAATTGCTGCTTAAACATTGCTGTAATGGTGAACACAGGACCTATATACAGATATTTATAATTAACTTTGAAAGATAGGAAGTCAGTACAAATTTATAACAATTTAATTATTGTCTATGTTAGATAAAAACAAATTTCAAGTTTGACAATTAATGATTGCCTTTATTAATAATTATTAATATGGAAAGACAACAGATTTACTGAGCACTTTATCAACTTGATATTTATTATTATTATTATTTTTTTTTTTAAGTCTTTGTTTAGATGTTTTTGTACAGAAAATTTGCAATCTTATACACAGTCGTAGGTATAATACAGCGAAGTTATTTTACCTAGTAAAAAAAAATGAAAAAATTATTATAATTATAATTAATAATTTATTAAATTGTAAATAATTTTATATTTTTCTAGTAGAAAAATGAAGAAATAAATTGTGCAAAAGTAGTTGCTCAATTGAAACTAAAAAAAAAAGTAAAAAGAACGTAAATAAATATTTTATACGTATTGTTTTTAAAACTATAAATAATTTCAGCGTTGTCATTCCAACGGTCCTCAAATAATTGAATGAATTATGCATGAAAGAAATTGATTACCTAATTAGTTAATTTTAATTAAAATCAAATGAAAAATTTTAATTTAATAACTAAGGTGTTTTTTTATTTTTTTTTTTTATTTCTCGTTTTTTGTTATTGTTTAATTGATAATTAATTAAAAATGAGCTAAATAAAATGGTGAAGATTGATAATATTGTCAACTCGGTTCCTGTGTTCACGCTCGCACGTGTTGTCTCTTGCACGCCCGCAGCAGCGATGGAAAACTCGCGCTTGCGCTCAAACTGAGTGACAAGTGCAAGGTACTGTTTATAAATAATTACAATTATAACAAATTAGATGATTATATATTGTTATACGTTATGATAATAATAAAAATAACGAGACTTTATATCATAATGATAATGATTTACACTGGAAAATATTGAGAAGAATAATTAAATATAACGACACTGGAAAATTATTATCAAGCTCGCACCACTCCACTACCATCGTTGTCAACTTTTCGGCAAATAAAAGTGTTCTGTACCATCACAATAATTTTTAAAAATTAATCACAAATAAATTAAATAATTTCAATAGTTATTAATTAAATTTATCAATTTGATGTTAGTATATAACTTTTCAAAAAAAGAAAAAAAAAAAACGAATTTGTAAATGCGTTAAAAATTAGATGGCCTTTATCGATTTTCGTTTCTTCTTTTTATTTATCTTTTAAATTGTTAAGGATTATTTTAATTATTGTATAGATAATTAAAAAAAAAAATTAACTCTAAAATATATTGCATTATATATTTATAAATTAAAAATGTTAATAAATATATAAGTATATAATGCAAATAATAAATTTAAAAAACAATTATTAAGATTTATTAATATTAATTAAAATAACTTTGTCATTAACGCGACGATTGTGTTATAAATTACAATGATATTTCATTAACAGATTATATTGATAAAAATATAACGTCACTTATTGAAATCTGTTGTTTTTGTTACAGAATGAAATTTGAGAATCGTTTAAGACTATAAATCAACATAACACCTTGCGAACGATTAAAATGAAAGATAGAAAATAAGGAGTGGTGCGTGGCGCAGCTTATTGTATTCGTTTAAAACAATTTTTTTTTTTTAACTTTAAATTTATTATTACTCACTAACTACTATTAAATATAAATATATATAATTATTACTAATATGTTAAATTATAGTCTAGTTGGTGCTGTATTTGTGCCGTTGTAATTGTATATTTTTACTTGACAGTAAAATTTAAAATAATATCAATGTATTATCTTTAAAAATATTTGCGAATTTTAATTTTTATTATTTCATTATTTTATTTACAAAATTTAGTATTACTTTTTGATTTCATCCGATTATATCTTATTGAAACTTTGGCTTTTTTGTTAAATTAAGTAATACTAGCAACCTTGCAGTCACTATGTGACTGTCGTGACTTGTGAATTATAAATGAATAAAATTTTGCTTTATTAAATAAATAATTTTGTTAAATAGCACTGTACTTTCTTAACTATTGACGTTTTTAAAGATATAAGCTCATCTCGATGTTACACTTATCAAGAGCTTTCATTTGAGTACCCACATGCATTTTTGATATATTTTTCATATATACATATATATATAATATAAATAAATATATGAAAAATTGATGTGGGTATTCAAATGAAAGGTCTTGATGAGTGTAACATCGGGATGAGGTTATATCTTTAAAAATGTCAATAGTTCACAAGATACAAGGTCATTTCTCAATTATATATCTGGAGATAGAGAATTTTTTAATGCAGCCTAAATACTTATCATAATAAATTGACTATCGGTGAGAATGATATGAAATCTTCAAAAGGCACAAATTAAAATCGAGACCTTTGCAATGATATTAAATTTCACTAACAAAAAATCGATTTTATCATATGACTATCCTGGACATGAATTTTTTCTAATTCCATTTATAATATAGATAATTAAAGTCCAAGATGATAAAATTATTAATCTTGTTCAATCTCTTCTTTTAATTACGAATTTCATTACTTGTAATCTATCTTTTAAATAGATTTAAATGATTCTAATACATCAAACCCACTTTTTTTATTACATATATTCTTCCGTAAATTCTTTAATAAATTCATTCATTTCATAAGAATTCTCAAATTGCTAAAGCATTTTTTTCTTTCATCAATCAAGGACCAGCTTAATCGCTATTACCTTTTTAACAATAAAGTAATTTTCCAAAAATATTGATATTAAAAAAAAAAAAAAATATGCGTCTTTGTTATATTTATTCTACAACCTGAAGATAACTATGAAAAACAAATAATCAGTTCTTCATAGTTTTTATTTACCCTCAAAGCCTCAATAAGATATAAACAATTAATAATTTATGTATATTTTGAATGATATGGTGGTTTCATTACGAAACCAAGAAAAATTATTTATCAATCATGTCAACGTCATTTCTTAAAAGTACGTTTTATTATATTATTAACTATTATTTCCATTTTATTAATTAGCAATGTTTATCGATAAGTTTATAATTATTTCCAGAATATAAAGTTGTACAAAAAATCGGAGAAGGTTCATTTTCCGAAGTATTGAAATGTCAGGACAGGATAACTGGCGCTTATTACGCTGGGAAGAAACTAAAAAAAATTTATTCATCGTAAGATTCAATCAATATTATCAATACTTAATAATAATAATAATAATAATAATAAAATATTGATTGATTAATGTTATAAATAAAAAATTTAGGATGAATGAAATGCTTGAAAGCTCCGAAGTAATAGTAATGAGGAAAATAACTCGACATCCAAATATTTTATACCTGATTGAATCACATTAGTAAGTCTAAAAATTTTTTTATTAACATGATACTGAAATTGACAGACATCTAAAAATTTTATAAAAAAAAATTTCAGTATCATTAATCAATTGTCAACTAAAATTGATTTTATTTAAAATTATTTACTTGAATTAGTAATCACATGACTGGCAGAGTAATTTTAATTTTTGAATTAATGGACATGAGTCTGTATGACCTGATAAAAAGCCGGAAGAATCGTGTTATGTCTGAGCAGAAAGTTAAAATTTATTTATACCAGCTTTTAAGAGGACTTGAACACTTGCACAAGCATGGCATCTTCCATCGTGATATTAAACCCGAAAATATTCTTGTGAAGGTAACAGTCAGTGATGTGAAGCAAAAAAAAAGTGAAATTATAATTTCACATCACTATAAAAAATCTTGATTGGTAATTTAGATTTTTTTGATAAACTGAATCATTAATCAGGGCGACTTGGTGAAACTCGGTGATCTGGGTTCTATTCGAGGAATTTACAGCAAGCCACCATACACTGAATACATATCAACAAGATGGTACAGATCACCAGAGTGTTTATTGACCAACGGGTTTTACGGTCCCAAAATGGACGTTTGGGCAATTGGTTGCGTTTTCTATGAATTGTTGTCATTGAAGCCATTGTTTCCTGGCTCGAATGAGATTGACCAAATAGCCAAAATTCATGCGATCTTGGGGACACCTCATGCTCGAGTTATTGCTAAATTTCGGAGATTGTATGTCTTTAATTAATCCTGAAACTGAAGTTAGCAGATTGAGACATCTGTCATTTTTTAGACTTTTACAATAAATAAATTATTACTAAAAAAAAAAAAACATTTTTAAAAAAATAATAACAATAACTTTTTGATACATCTTCAAGTAAAATTTTTTTTATAATTTATTTGTTGAAGAAAATCTTAGAAGACATATGTCAGCTAACTTCACTATCATCTTCAATCTTTAAGATGATTATTGATTACTTATATTTATTTTTAATAATTAATTATTTAAATTTTTGTAGAAATAAATCTCGAAATAGTGAGTACTTTTTTCCTAGCAAAGGAAATGGCTCAGGATTCACGGTTTTGCTGCCTCACGTAACGGAAACAGGCAAAGAGCTTTTAAAACTGATGTTAGTCTATGATCCTGAAAATAGAAGTAATGTTAAGCGATTGCTGGATCACAGATATTTCAATATTCTAAAAGAAAGTGATCCACCTAGACAACCAAGTGGCTTCACATTACCCCCGATAGAATCTTGTCAATGGCGTAATCCTGGTAATCCTGTTCTTCTCAGCTATATTGCAACAGAGAAACGCCGTCGATATAAAGTAAATTATTTAATTAAAATTAATTTAGCAGGTACTTGATAATTTTTTTTAGAATTTTTTTAACAAATTAATTATGACTAAAAAATTAGAGAAGAAAATTGAAATGAAGAAATGAAAGAAAAAATTATAAATGCAATTTTTTATGAAAATAAAATTAGCCGACATCTAATTTTTTTATTGAAAAAATTATTTAAAAAAATAAAGAAAAAATTTCATTTGTAAAAAAACTTGAAAAACTGGAAGTGCAATTTTTTAAAAATATTTTTTTGTTCTAATTTTTTCAATAAAAAAAAAAAATCGAAAAATTAAAAACGTCGGCTAACTTTATAATTATAATAATTTTTTTTAAATAATTTTTTTGTTAAATAAAACAAAAAAATGATCAAGTGGATTATATGGAAAGAATTATTATTTATTTATTATTGTTGATTATACAGCCTTTAAGTACAAGAAGACCTAAAGTAATAGAAGAAATAACTTCCAAAGGATCACGAACAATTAATTCAAGTCCAAGTCGTCAAAACTATCCCAGTAAATCTAGCTTCTCGAAGTTAAATGATAAGGTAAAAGAAGAAACTACTTTGTACATGATTCATTCGTCAAAGAGGACTGATAACTCTTGGACGAGAACTGAAAAGTCCTGGAGAAAAAGTGTTTACACAACGCGAACTGAACGATCAGAATCACCTAGATTAAAAGCTAGTGTCTGTAAATTACCGTTGATTAAGAATAATAATAACAGAATTAATATCAATGTATCTGGTGAAACCGGTGATGCTTCAAGAGTAACTCGAAAGATTCCTTCTACTTTTACTCCGCAGTATAATCTTCGAGAACGTAATTTCTATCCGAATTTCCGGTCGAAGATAATCCATAATGCTAAAGATCAAAACGATGATAGTCGATTTACGTAAGTAATATTTATGGTGAAGAAATGAAAATGATTGTTTAAAATTTTTTATAAATATTTTTCAGATACTTACCTCAAATTCAGAGACCAATTCCTGACCGACAACAAGCTGCTCCAACAACCTCAGCACCTCAACACAATGTTACTCTTGAAAATAACAAACGTAAAACTCGATTAGCTACCATAACAGAAACAAGAGTAACACTTCCGCATACCAGATCATCCAACATAAAAAGCCCAGCTAAAAAAATTGCTAAGCATGAAACTACTAAATCCCTCGGAAAAATTCTAACTGCTAAAAAAGCACCACCTGCTAGACGCTTACGGGGCAAAGGAGTATAAAATAATTGTATCAATATCATAAATTTATTGCAATTTAATACTCATGTAACAATTTAAAAAAGCTGAAGATTTGATGGAACATTTTTTGATGGATTGGTATAAAATAAGAAAAGAAAATTTATATTTTTTTTCGATACAATATCATTTAGAGCCTTCATAAAAAAATTTTTATGGCACTTTAATGTTAATCCAACAATGATTAAAAATTACACGCATTTCTAACGAATATATATATTTTTCATTCTATAGTTTAATCACTTTTATAAAATTTAATAAATTAAACTATTATTTTTTTTTTTTTAAATATTGCTTTACGCATCGTATGATAAAAAACTACAAAACAAAAAATATTTTTTTAAATTTCTAATTATCTTACGCTTAAAAAAACAAATAGACCGTGAATTTTTTTCAACTCGATACTTGACAAAACATTTCGTATTGAATTTTATAGCAAAAAAATTCCGTTAGTTATATAATAGTTGATTATTAAATCAACAAAAAAGTTATGTAAACTAAAATAATATCGTTTTTTATAAAACTTACTTATATTTCTAATTTAGTTATTACTATTTTAATTATTACTGTTAATATGATTATTATTATTATTATTATTATTATTATTATTATTTAAAATGAACACAGACGTATGTACTGTTCAGTCTGTTCCACTTTTACGATGCAGAGTTACTTTCAAACAGCCTGGATTTGCTTCTGAAAACCTGAAAAATAATATAATTTATTTATTAATTTACTTACAATTAATGGATAAGTTTAGATTTATTAAAAATAAAGTATAGTTACCGAATATTGCGATTCATTAAATTTCGCGAAACTGCTGGTTTGATTCTGCTCATTTTATTGGTGCTTCGACTACCACGTCCCGTGACAATATATACAGTGGCATAGCGCTTATTATTCTTGATAAGTTTATTCAAGTGATAATCTAGAAATGTATCCAGAGCAATAATTGCATCGTGGACAATTAAATAATGGAGATCTAGGATATCTTCGTTATCGAGTATTTGGGCCTCGACCATAGCACTTGCCGCATCAGCCCGAGCTTCTTTGTTGTATCTGGCATGTTGCCGTGACTGAAATATTTTTTAATTAGAATACGTATCAAAAAAATTATCTAATTAATAAAAAGTAATTATCTATAAGTGGGGTCAACCCCGTTTTTGGCCATAACTAGATGAAAAATTTACATTTTTTATTTTTTTTGATTCTGCTTTTTTTCACGGCACAATTTATAAATTTTTTTGAAAATTTGTAAAATTTGTCAAAATTGTAATAATCAACTTTTTTTTTTAATTATTCGTTTTTTTTTATGTTTTTTTATTTAATTAATAAATTTTTTTGAAAATTTTTTAAAATTGTGATAATCAACTTTTTTGTTTAAATTGTTTTTCATTTTTTTTTTTTTTTTATATATATTTTTCAAAAAAAATATATCAATAAAATCAGACAGAAATTTCATTCGAAAAAATGAAAATGAAAATAATTGACCCCACTTGTAAATATTTACCTAATAAAACTAATAATTAATACTTACAACTTCTGAATAATAAGCAGCAACTGCTGGACACCCTCGTCGATAAGCTTCAGCAGCTTTATTAAAATTTTCAATTTGTAATGAAAATCTCCGTTGAGCTTCTTGTTTAGCATTATCAACATCCGCTTGAACTTTAATTTTATCATTTTTACTTTCAATTTTAGGTGAATTTCTCGAGTCTGGTCTCACAGCAATAACCGGAGTGACACTTCTTGCTTTTAATTTCTCTTCACTACTATTATTACTAATATTAGCTTTAACCTTGTCAACAAAAGTTTCTTCTTTAGTAAAACTTGCTGCAATAGACCTCCCAGTACTGGCTTTAATTATCTCAAAAGTTTCTTTTAAATTATTACCGTGAGCACTGAAGACCTCATCTAGAGCTTTTGGATCTATACCAGGCAATGATTCATAAAGCGCTTGCCTTGACAATTGAGAGATAACGTCATCCGGTGAATCTTCGATAACTGTTTCTTTTACCGCGTCATTGTAAGACTTCAATGCTAATTCCAGATCCATACTTTCTTGTAAATTCGAGACTTTATTTGAAGAAGCACACGCTTCTTCTTCTAATTGTTTCTCGAGATTTTTCGCATATTCCGCATCTTTAGCAATCATATTATCCAGCTGTTCGTGCCGAGAAGTCAACTGCGTGTACATACTTTCAATCCATAAGGCATACAATTCTTTAGCCATTGATTTTTTAACTTGAATTACTGGCATAAAACCATCTGGGATAAGAAAATCAGGATTACTGAATAAATTTTCCAGTACACGGATTCCATCAAACCCGAGATTCAATTCAATAGTTTCTTCGTCTTCTGAAGACTTGTCATTTTCTATAGAGTCTGTACGACTGGTAGATGCTGCAGAATGCGAAGAAATATCATCAAAGATATCAGTATCGGTTTTATTATCCAATACAATTTTAATTTCTTGTAACCTAAATTCTTCTTTATCATTTTCATTTTTCTTCTCACTTAATACAGCTTTTTGTTTTTCTTCTTCATTTATTAAAACCTTTTCTAAATTTTCCTGGCTTGTTTTAACTTTTTTAGGAAAGAAATCAAAAAGTGTCTTAGTAGAGGGTTTTGAGCTCAAATCTTGAGCTTCATCATTTTCTTCCTCTGCTGTACGATGCATATCAATAGACCCATCCTGAGGCATACCATCCAACAAAACATCTACAGTCCAACTAAAGTCTTTATGACACAAATTTTCATACATATCAATCAAATAATCCCTCGGAATGTTAGGAAACAAATTAACCAGTTGACAAATACTCGATGAAGAATTATCTTGCTGCACTTCAACATCACGGTTAAGCATATCATCGGTCATTGAGCTTTTATCAAGCATCAATTTAACTGGCGGACGTTCTGATTGAACCAAAGGCATTCCCTCATTGATAGATCTATTCAAAGTGTCAATGACACGGTAATTCGCATCAGCAGTTCCTCCGACAAACAAAACATTAAAGTCATAGTAGGATGTGTTGGTACCTGCATCATTTGTCGAGATTATTTTTTTATCTAAACTCTCATTCAAAATTAATTTCATACTCGGTACATCATCCAACGGAAACGGTGATTCTTTCCAAGTGATACTATTTATATTATCTACCTTGTCTTCTTCAGCATTCAAAGCTTCAATTATTAATTCCTTAGGTTCTTCCACAAGCTCGTCAATTTTTGCTGTTTCTTTATCGCTTGCTTCTAAATCAATTAATTCAGAATTTTCTTTTTCATCCAGTTGGAATTTTTTTTCCAAATTACTATCAATAATAGCTCCTGCTACAGAACTTTCTCCTAAAATAGAAGTTTTAATAATATTAAAAATCGATCCAATTGTCGAAGTAACCGGAGCTTTTGTAACTTCTTTTATTTCTTCATTTTTATCTTCAGGTACGTTTAATTCAGGACTTCCGATTAAAGCTGATTCTTTTAATACTTCTCGAGCATCATCGTCACTCAAGCTCTCGTCTCCAATAGTATCATCAACGCTGTCGTCTAAAAATTCAGAATCAATATCGAGACAATCCACATCTGGCCAGGGAATTTTCTCTTTGGACTCACCAAGCCCCATTACATCTTCATCTGAAGAATGTAGCTCTTCATTATCACTATCATCATCTTTTTTTTCCTTATCAACTTCTTCACTCTCATCATTGGCAACAGAATCAACGCAATCTTTTTTAACTTCTTCAGAAGATTCAGTATTATTATCCGGCAATTGACTTAATTCATCATCATCAATAATTTCCGTGATAATTACAGTAGATTCTTTGACCTCAAACCCAGTTGTTGTTTCATTGTACTCCTTCGCTAATTCTTTAATAAAATCTTCCATTCCATCACAACTCTTCTCGGACTCTTGATAGCTTTCTTCTTCCGTAAACAAAGGACTGACTTTGCCACTATTACCTTCTTTACTAAATTCTTCATCCTGCTTTCTGATTTCATCCGCATCAACCGGAGAACCTTTAGGCTTTTCATAAAAGTATTCTTCTTCAAGATGATTGCTGTGGAGTGTCTTTCCATCCAACAACAAAGTAAAGTCCCAGCAAGGTGGTAAAATATTGAAACTATCATTCACCTCGCGGTCAATTTCATCAGTTTCTCGTACTGGACTAATCAGATCTAAATGTACTACACTGTTCTTCCTCTCGGATCCAATTGCACCCAACGGTTGAAGCATTTGACTGTCATCTGGCTTGACTCCATCTGTTTTTTCTTTCCCAAGCTCCTCAATGATTATTTTTGATACTTCATTTAATTCTGGCAAGACTTCAGGAAGCGCCAAGCTCTGCAAATATTTGCTAAAAGAATTTTTATTATCTTGAACAACTTTATTATCTTCAATCCGTTGATCAGTACTTTTTTTTTCAACAACAAGTTTATCTTTTGTACTATTTATTGTTGGAGATTGCGTCGGAGTTTTTATTATTGGGTTAAAATGATTGGGATATTTAAGTGAATAAATATCCATAAGCTTCTGACCAGTTATTCCTTTTTCATATCTGTCAAGCATAATACGAATTTTTTCTTTAGGAACTCCGTGGGTATTTTTACGAGCCAACTCATTGACATTGTCAGCCCACGAAGTATTTGTTTCTAATACTTCTATTATATAACCATTATCAGCAGCCATTATAACATAAGGACGCATTTCCCAGATCTGAAGATTAGTATTGTCGATAATTATCGGAGTTCTGCCTGATATCATGGCATTAGAAACCCGACTGTGGTTCCGAGAGTGAGCTTCACTCAGTTTTGTTGGATCATACGTATAAACTCCTCGATTGTGCAGTTGAAAGAAGTCATCAGTACTGAACACATAAATTGACGGATCTTTAGCCAAAGTTGTGGATATTAAATTTCTAGCTTCAGTAGACTTGCCACTTCCTGGAAGACCGCGCATAAGTACTATTATTTTATCCCCGCGAGCTATAGCTGCTTTTATCTTCTCAACTGTAACATCATGCAGATTTTTTTGCGGGCTTTTCACCGGAGACTTTACAACGCGCGTTGGCTTTACTGTGCTAGATTGAGTATTTAATCGGGGTGAAGATTGAACGGGAGATGATAAAAATTGTGAGACATTCACTGGAATATCAGACATACTATCATAGTCATTATATTCTTCTTCAACAACGACATCTGCGTCATCATCTTCAGAACTGCTTTCAGTTCCAGACTGACGATAGTGCACCTTCAAGCCACATAACTCAGAATCAGTGCGTTTATTTACTAAATTACTGTTATTTTTATTAGTTTTTTTATTATTATTATTATTATTATTATTATTATTATTATTAGACTTGGTAGATTTTTGCTGATTTTGACTACGCTGAGGGTTTGAAGAGATTTGATAAAAATAATCATTCTGTAAATTCTGAGATGGATTGTTAGTTGTAAAAAAATTAGTTGCCAAAAAATTAGAATTACTTTGCCAAACTCTACCGTCATTTTTTTTCTTTGAGTCACCTACAGTATTCCACGGAGTTATGGGTTTCTTCCAGGGTGAACTGGGTATACGTTTGCCATCAACTTTTACTGGAGATTCATTAGCAGCAGCATTAGCTGCACAAGTATCTAACTTAGAAATATTATCGCGAAAAGAATCCATCCTATTTTTGGATGAATTTTTTTTTAATTGTTCAAATTTATTAAATCCCTCAAGCTGTTGCTTAAACTCATCTTCATTCATGCGTAATAATTCATCTGAGGTAGTTGAATCTACTGATAAATTAGCGTGATTGTCTGAACTTGATACAATAGCTGACATTACTGGTTTGTCAGGTTGTTTTTTCTCCTCAACAGTCGCTGACAGTGTAATCAAAGAATCTATTGTGAATTGTAAATCCCAATTACAATTTTCAGCGATTGATAGAATCACATCATGCTCTAACGTATTCTGGAACATTTCTATGACAAGATCACTTACCATTTGCTGTTGGCTTTTGTTTTTATTGTTGCTGTTGCTATTATTTTTATTGTTGTCATTTTTTCTACCACCACCTTGACCTTTTCCAAGGGATGATGATGTTACCGGAGGCCACTGATCGTTTGATGCCATTTTATTTCAATTTAAATACCACAGCATTACCTTATCTGTAATAACACAAAGAGGTGAAGTCATACGTAAAGAATTCCACGTAACCTATCAATATATCTGTTAATATAATATGATATTCAATACATGTATCAGTTATAGAATCAACATTACATACTTACATGTATACTCTATATTGTTGTTGAATTTATTGTAACACAATAAATTATTTTTAACTAATTCAATTGTTATAACTATTAGAAAATTAACTGTTCCTCAAAAATAAACATTGAGAATTATGCGTAAAGCAGGAAAGAAATAAAATAAAATTTTGGGAAACACAAGTGTATAAGTATCCATTTTAATGCACTATTACATTGTTAGGAAACTTACTTATCAGCTGATAATATTTTGTGCACAAAAATTACTAAAATTACATGGGATATATGACATCACTTAAACTCATGGAGAATATATATAAAAGATGGCCCTTGATATTCATTCTTGTTAAAAGATAAATTTTTGTGGAAAAAAAATAATAAATCACTCAAATATATTTTTTATATGTAAATTAATTTAGAAGATATTTTATAATTTTTAGAATTTATTTTGCCAATAAATTATGACAAAAAAAATTAGAAAAAAAATTGACATGTAGAAATGTGAAAAAATAAAAAATGCAATTTTTTAAATTGAAAATTAAATTAACCGACATGTGAAAATTTTTATAATTATTTTTATTGAAAAAATTGTTACTATAAAATTAAAAGAAGAAATTGCACATGTAGAAAATTTGAAAAGTTATACGTGCAATTTTTTAAAATTATTTTTTTACTTGCAATTTAATTGTTAAAAAAAATAGAAAAATTTTTCAATGTCGGTTAACTTTAGTATCATTTTTTTATAAAACAATTTTTTTTTTTCATAATTTATTTGTTAGAAAAATTCTTAAAATTATTATCAACTACCTGCTAAGTTAATTTTCATTCAAATTGAAAATACATATATTAAACAAATTATTTATAAAATACAATTTAATTTTCCCATTGCAAAACAATTTCACAAGTAATTTTTTAAAACGAATGTCGCTAGTTGTCACTTCTCAATAAGAATTTTCCATCATATCAAATTCTAATTATTAGGGTTAAGTTTGATACACCTCTTTTTATATATAACAGACGTTCAGTAACTAATATTTAATAGCCAAATTTATCTTAATAAAATTAAAAATTATCATTTAAGTACATCTAATTAATTGAATAAAATAAAAAATGGGTATATTAGAAAAAATCGGCGAAATTGAGCGAGAAATTGCTCGAACACAAAAAAACAAAGGTTAGTGAACTATCATTATTTAAACAATGTTAATTATTAAAACAATTATATATTAATTTTTTCTTCAACTTAAATTAGCAACGGAGTACCATCTTGGATTGCTAAAAGCTAAATTGGCAAAGTACAGATCTCAGCTTTTGGAGCCGACTTCTAAAAAATCAGAGAAAGGTGAAGGGTTCGATGTGCTGAAATCTGGTGATGCCAGAGTTGCTTTAATCGGTTTTCCTTCTGTGGGTAAATCAACATTGCTAAACACCCTGACTCATACACAGTCTGAAGCAGCTTCATACGAGTTCACGACACTTACTTGCATCCCGGGTGTTATTGAGTACAAGGGTGCTAACATACAACTGCTAGATTTACCTGGTATCATTGAAGGAGCTGCTCAAGTAAGTTTAACTATTTATTTATTTGTAATAAATTTATTTATTTATTATAAAATTTATTTATTTAATTATGATGATTAATTATATGAAAATAAAGTTAGCCGACATCTAAAAATTTATATGATTTTTTTTATTAAATAATTATTATGAAAAAATAAAAAAGAATTTTTTTCATTTGTTAAAAACTTCAAAAACTATTAGTGCAATTTTTTGAAAATATTTTTTAGTTATAAATTAATAAATTAAGAAAAATAAAAAAATTGAAAATGCCGGCTAACTTTATTATTATTTAATTATAATCACTTTGTTTAAAATAGGCATTATAATTATTATTGACACTTTATTCTTCAGGGAAAAGGTAGAGGACGGCAAGTAATAGCTGTAGCAAGAACAGCAGATCTGGTGCTGATGATGTTGGACGCAACGAAACAAGATGTCCAGCGACAATTACTGGAAAAAGAGTTGGAGTCTGTGGGCATTCGGCTGAACAAAAGAAAGCCAAATATTTACTTTAAAATAAAGAAGGGTGGCGGTTTATCTTTCAACTCGACTTGTCCGTTGACTAAATGCGACGAAAAGCTCGTTCAAATGATTCTTCACGAGTATAAAATATTTAACGCTGAAGTATTGTTCCGCGAGGATTGCACTGCGGATGAGTTAATCGATGTTATCAATGCTAACAGAGTTTATCTTCCTTGCCTTTATGTTTATAATAAGATTGATCAAATTTCTATTGAAGAAGTTGACAGAATTGCTAGGCAGCCTAATAGTGTCGTAGTGAGGTCAGTATTTAAATTATATAAAATTAACTAAATCTTAAAATACTATTATTTATTTTATTTTATTTCATTTAACGCCAAGCGGCAATAGGCAATGTACATCAGAATATAAATTATAAAACAATAAAAATAATAAAATTTTTGTTTGTGATTTCAGTTGTAATATGAAATTAAATTTGGACTATTTACTGGAAATTTTATGGGAATATTTATCACTGATCAGAGTGTATACTAAGAAACCAGGACAGCCTCCAGATTTTGATGATTGTTTAATTTTAAGAAGAGGAGTTTCTGTTGAACATGTTTGTCATGCGATTCATCGTACTCTCGTTGCTCAATTTAAATATTGTCTCGTTTGGGTAATTTTTTTTTTTAATATTTCATAATACTAAAGTTAGCAGACATTTTTAATGTTTTTTTTTTTAATAATTTAATTAGAACAAAAAAATATTTTTTAAAAATTGCACTGACAGTTTTTAAAGTTTTTTACAAATGAAATTTTTTTTTTTTTTAATAAAAAAAAATTCTAAAAATTTTTAAATGTCGGTTAACTTAATTTTCATTAATATTTTGTATTTTATAAAACTCACTGTCATTATTATTATTTATTTAATTACAGGGTACCAGTACTAAGTATTCACCTCAACGAGTGGGTATTCAACATATAATGAATGATGAGGATGTTATCCAGATTGTTAAAAAATAAATGAGGTTTTTGTACTAACCACCAAGCCTCGTTTTATTATTTTATAATAAAAACCCGTTATATTTTTACTCTATATATAACAAACTAATTTTATTTTATAAAATAAAAAAGAAATATATATAAAAAAAAAATAAAAAATAAATTAATTTGAATAAATAGCGCTTCAATATCCGGGCGCGTAAAATTCAAATTCAACACAGGTAACGTTTTATTAAAAATTTTTTGTCCAAGTTTTTTTTATGATTTAGTTCATTATATAATTTAAAATTTCCAGATTTAATTGGCGTAATAATTCAGCGAAAATCGTTGAATAATATAAGAATAATAACGATAGTTTTTTTTTTTTTTTATTTTTTAGACTATTTGTGCTACCACCTCATGTAATAAAAGTCGTGTTGACAGGGTAGTAAAAAGTGATCGCGGAATATTGGGGTGTCTTATAGCACATATATATATAAAACAACCCTCAGCAGCGCCACCTGGCAAAGCCGGCCAGGGTCACCCCTCTCTTGTGAGTCTCTCTGGTGAAACACCACCCTTGTGTCGAAGTATACCCGTGCTCCTGTAGAGTTACAATATTACAATCGTGAAACGTTACGGAGTAGCTTATTTCAGTGTCCCACTGTGTCACGATTGAGTTTAAATATTCGTAACTAACTCGATAAATTAAAACATACGGGTTTTATTAAAAACAATCTTCATAATTCACGTCTACGAGTACGTGAATTACGTGACGTTTAAATTGTCGCTGCAGTGATAGCTTGTGATAGTTGTCTGATTGGAAAAAAAAAAAAAAAAAAAAAAAAACCAAGTGCCAGAAGATTGAGAGAGAAAGAGAACAAGAGTACAGGAGATAGTTAAAGAGGAAAAGAAGAAAAGAGTGTGTGACTTAATCCCATATAAAAGGTAACGTGATCAGGAGCAAATGCTCTGTTGGATTAAATATATATTTTTTTTTACTCCAAAGTTTCTTACTCTTTAGTAGTTTCGTAACCAGGACATATGGTTCGAGTTCACTGATGTTTTTTTCGTTGACGTGAAATCCACCAACTAAACGTGTTGGATCGATTCCCTTTTTCTTCAAGACACGCTGCTTTAAACTTACTAATGTATACATTTTTATTTAACATTTAATCATTACCCTTACAGCCTAAATATTTTATTTAATGCAGCGTCATTTTATAAATTATCAAATTTTCTATCAAATATTAACTAAAAAAATTTTTTTTTCATTTATTTCCATTAGATCGGGTGCGGTTAAAACTGATTAATCGTGTAGAACCCTTTTCCGGTGTCTCGAGCACGTTTAAACGGCGAAGAAACACATGAATATTCGGCCATTGAGAGCTAAAACTGGAGACCATGACGAGCTAAGTATGGCGACAAGACCTTATTTGACTTGCTAAATAAAATACAATGTGTTTTATTCACAACTAAAATATATTTCTTCTTCTGAAAAGCAAACAAACTGATAAATAACCAAGTTAATTAAACATCAATGATAAGAGATCCTTTTAATATAATTTATCTTGTACTTTTGTCTGAGATACCCAAAATGACAATGACGTGTCCTCGGGAAATCCGGTTAATGTCCCCTTTTCTTTATCTCTGTCATTTGTACATTGGCTCTATTCATCCAGTCATGTGCAAGTAATATGACTCATGGTCTCTCTCGAATAATATAATACCCCAAACCCCAATAGATTGGTGTATTGCTAACTACTGGTGTGCTGACTCGTTTAATATATATATATATGGGGCTACATATTTATATATATGTCATGTAATATCAAAAGAGATGGTATTAGGTAGAGTGAAGGAAGTACGGATATAAAAGTAAGGAAACCCTGAACGAAGTTAGCAGGAGGAGAGACGTATAGTAGTAGTCCTCCCTACTACCCCCTGTAAACACCATCATGCTATGGTAAACCTCGCACCTGCCGCAGCAGAACATTTTACTCGAGAAAATCGATATAAAAAGCATCTAAGTATACGTAAGGGTACGTCTTTAAACATATAGAACACTACGGGTGTCGTATCGTGTGCATACGACCACGAGAAAACACTGGGCTTCAAAAATATTCACCTCGTCTGGTTAATATTGATGATCATGCTAAAAATCAATATCCATAAAACGGCTGTATGCTTCTCTGACGACTAATTATTTAATTCAGGTGTTGTAATAATTTTTTTTTATTTTTATTATTATTTTTTTTTATTTTTAAATTGTATATGTTGCTTTTTTACTGTGATTTGATTTTATATTCCAGATTGATTTGTTATTTTATTTACTTCAGAACACCCAGCGATAATCCGTAAATAGTGGGCGGAAGGGAAGCTCGAAGCTGTTAGTAACGAACGTAAAAAAAATAAAAAAAAAAAAAGGAGCTGTAAAAAGTTGTCAAAACAATATTTGATGAGGAAAATGTCGAACAATTTGAAATGAAATCTGGTGTACGTTTAATTCTACAATACCAACGTAGTCATCATCATAATCATGATGATCATGAACCGTCATCGTCATCATGATTGAACATCAAATCTATCCATCCACATTCGTCCTCTACAATTGTATAGTAGTATTGTTATGTTCCTCCTGGTAAAATAGTTATCTCATCTCGTTCTATCATATTCGTTGGATTTCGTTTAGGATCTCTGTCAAGCCGATCAACGTCCGTGAATGCGGCTATCCTGATACACGTCGACGCGATCAACGATTTTGCAATGCAATATTGAAGAGAGATGAGTAACTGAAAGAGAGTGAGAGATTGAGCTACCGGGGAAATGAAGAGGATGAGAATTGTATATGTATATTACAATGCTGTGAATTCACTACTGGAGCAATCGGATATACGAAATTTCGATTAATGGCACGTTCATCATGAATTAATCGTAAGCGAGCGAGAGAATTTGTGCTTGCCAATAAATTTATGGTATATAAGGTGTATGCATACATTTACTCAACTGAACTATTGAAGGTAGTTAATTTTAATAATATAATACAAAAAAAAAAGGTCTGGGTGCAACAGCCCCGCATATCGAGAGTCACGATTTAATGTCATGCTAATACATTTTATTTATGCCAGCTGTATAAATAATTAATGAGTTTTAAGCTTTTAAATTCATGCTGGTAAACTTTTACGCTTTTTTAAAAATTTTACTGTCAAGTGAATAGTGGGGGTTTTATATTTTATGAGGCTAGATGATAAAAAAATTCATCATAAGACAAGTTAAATTTAAATTGACTAGAAGACACTTTTCAGAAGAAAAAAAATAACAACAAACTCATATGAAACAGTACAGTAGATAAATTGGTGAGATAAAATGGTGATGTTGAATGAAAAAACTAAATAAAAAAGCATAAAAATAAAAGTGGATATAAAGCATCGGCTATTCTATCGAGACCTCAATTCTTCTCTGTCTCATAGCAGTAGAAGTAGCAATAGCATCAGGGGCATCGTATGCAGAGTAGATATATATTCATGTGGCACATATAATATATAACAACACATAGTACAATAGCGGAGGTAGCTTGGCAATAGCCGACTGGAAGAGAATCGATCGATCAAGTCTCGGCCACGCGAGACACGTTGTGTGGTGGTTGCTTCTCTTTTTTCCAACCACGTTCGCCATACACCCCGTTGTTGAATTCCGGCGCACACTTTCACCCGCTAGAATCGGTTCTATAAAGCCGGTTGAATTCTCCATGATACTACTGAGGATGGAATCAAGACAAGTTCACCCACCAGCACTCAGTACACCAAACAGAGACGAGTTTAACTCTGCTCGGGTAGTCTTCTTTATGGAGACATCAGTCTGGTGGCAGAACAGACTGGGACAGATATAAAGACATGTGGACGTGAAGAAGAGAGCACAAACAAGATGGAATACGGAAGCGATGGAGGTGGAGTAACCAGCTCCCATAGTAGATGCACAAGAGCGAGAACAAAGCTGAAAGAGAGGGTGCTTCCAACTCATTCTAGCATACAATCTGCCAATGTATTACTTGTTTTGTGCCGACACCGTTCTTCTGTCAAACCTGGCACACGTTCAACTATTTCCTATAACAGGACAGGCAGAGCGAAGCTTTCAAAGTCGAGTTTCCACGGCTAGGCTTTTTTATCTCCAACATCAATTAAGTATCTAATTGTTTTCATGGATTCTTTCATTAATTAGTTTTACTAAAGCAAAAATCAATTTCAGGTTTTAAGGGAGTATTCTGGTTTACATGGAAAAAACAAGATAACATTGGATGTCATCCCAGATTATACTGAGTGAAAAAAAATTTCAGGTAATAGCTAATATAATCCAATTTACAATGAGTATAATTCAGATGTCACGCAGTATAATCTGAATTTTTCTAGATACTATCTGAAACTTTTTTTCACCATAGATATCACTAATCTGGGATGATATCCAGTGTCATCTTGTTTTTTCCATGTAGAAGCTTGGATTTTAGGTATTATTTTGGTCACCATAAAAAAAAAAAAAAAAAACAAATATTTTTACCATCCATTTTTTTATAAGTTTTTTAATGAGGCTGAAGTTAGCAGAAATTTGACAATTTTTGATTTTTCTTGAAAAATGAACTAGGCATAGAAAATTATTTATAAAAATGTCATTTTTAAATAAAATTGATTATAGATGAAATTTTTAAATAAAATTTTCTTGTTATAATTTGTTTGTTAAAAAAATTCTAAAAATTATCAGATGTCTCTCAACTTCAGTGTAATGTTTTTTATTAATATTTGAATAGTACAAAACATTAATAAAATAAAAAAAAAATCAAATTTCAAAAAACTGCAGAACAGCAAAGTGGAGATAAAAAAATGGCACATCCTGGTGTTCAGGATATCAATTTTTCCAGTGACCAAAATTGAAAAACAATTAATAGTTCTTAAAGAGGAAGGATTTAGTTATTGCACTACTACAAGACGTTTTAAAGAAAAAAAAATTTTTTTTCACAAAATGACGGTTTGAAAAATACGTTTTGTTTTTTCTGTTTTTCTGCCGTTCGGATTTTTTTAAAAATGTAACTTTTTAAATTAATTAATGAATTAATTCAATCACCTTTGTGGTTGTTTTCTTACTAGTTTCGACAACTCATCCGATAGGTTTAAAGCGTATTAGCGTGTCTGTACTAATTCACCCCATGTGTTGTACTACAAGGCATAACATCGGGGACAGTTGGGAAGCCAGTACAGAGCCGTCGATTGTAAAACCCTTGAAAGCTCTGTACAAAAGTGTTTGCTCGTGAAAGGAAGAAAATCCAACATTAAAGTTAAGACCCTTTACTCTTGTATGGTTCTCTGGTTCTCTACTTCTCCAGTTTTCAATATATAATCCGAGTAGCGAGAAATTAACGAATCGTTTGTCGCGCCGGCGCCAAAGCGTCCTTTTTGCCAGGACGATGAAAGCGCTTGAGACTCGCTGAGGGCGATGCTTGAGGCAAGGGTGCTATCGAGAGTGTTGGGCTAAATATCTATATCTATATACATCTACATAGATGTTAATGTATATCCTATATAGATTAACCCGAAAAGGATGAACAAGCCACAGTACAGAGAG